TGTTCAGCTTCACAAAACAGACGGCAGATAACATAATTATCCCCAAAAAATACCGGAATGAAAAAAACAATATTAAGAGGCTACTTTCTGAAAAGTCGGACGAGGAACACGTAATACACGTTATCATAATAAAATAAAACCTTCCCTGAAAGCTTAGGTGGCCGATAAGGTTTCCTGAAAAACTCGGCCCGTGATTACTTTCAGCCCCTTCAAAGTTAGGGGGGAACTGAGTAACATAAGCGGAAAATTGCCAACACATTTTATTTGATGGGTACTGATAAGTGGGGTCACATTTTTTGGAAATTATTGGTGTCATGTGATATGATTTAAGCAGTTTATTTACGGTTGCACGGAGCAGGAAATGTTTTGGTATTTTTATTATTTTAGATACATATTTGTCACATACAAAGTTAGTTTCATTCTCTTTTATTTGATCTATAACACTTGTATCCCATGAGTAAGTATCATTTGCAAAATTAATAAAAATAATTTTAAAATTCAATTTAAATCGCTAACCGCTACGCTCCGCTCATCACTATAATATAACGTACCAATGTTGGGTCGTCCCACAGGCTAAGGAAAGGTATTACATTAGGCCTCCATCACGCATTATCTACATATAATGATATAATACATACAACGTATTATGAACAAAGGTGTAAGGTCCATGTTTTGTCCCTATCATTTTGTTCACATTTGAAAGAGATAGAATTAATGAGGGTTATCTTGGGGTAATTTTAATGAATCTTGTATCTTTGTAACGAGCTACACACATACACAGGCTGTATAATGTCCGTCAAATGTAATGGGCAGGAGATGAACGGATGGGAGTCAGGATACACAAGTTAATGAGTTGTAATCCTTGTAGACAGATTGTCATTTGTTATTTTATTAGACTGATGTGGGACGTTTATTATAGAGTTCATTGACCTGGCTAGTGATTTTTAACATAGTTAGAAGAGTAATATTTTGATTTATTCCTTTTAAACTTTTCCATAAGACTGTTTAACAGACTTTAAGCTTTGCAATATAAATACATATACAGGAAAAACAAATATTTGTAAAGGAAGCATTGCTTAAGTACTTGTGTTTCAGACTTACCTACTAAAAGGAAATAATATTTCATTCAATATCCCAAGGGCGTATAAATATTACTTCGCTATAAAAACTGTACCTCAGAGGAAAATATTTTTACATCTGTTGGCCAAAATATAGCGAGAAATAATAAAAAACTTATAAGGTGAGAAATTTAATCAACATACATTCCTTTTGGAATAATTATTTAATCTTGATTATTTTCAGCTGGTTTTAATTGTAGTATTGACTGACCGTTTAGAGATAAACAAGTAATTCTTATAATATACTTTTATGTGATCCGGTTTTAAAGTATATGGTCATCAACAATAAGAGTGTGTACCAAAAATCAGATTAATCTGTCTGTCATCAGGAAGGGGGAAAAATTCCAATTACAAAACATTCAAGCAAACAAATAGGTCAAGTTAACAGAGCATTAAGAGTTAGCATTTATTAATTATTTTGTGTTACTAGAAATAAAAGTCTTTGTCAAGTTAAATAAAACCGTATAGTAATACAAATTAGGCTCTTGCAACATTAAATTTATTTATAGACACTACCCTTAAACCTCTTTGTTCAAAAAAGAAATTGGTCAAACGCTTTTAAATTGACAAGCAATACCTTTATTTATATCAAAATATTTAAATCAAAATTGAAATGGGTCATTAAGAATCAAGAAAAAATTGCAATGGATATATTGGCCTCACTCCATTCTAAGAAATGTTTCTCGACTTTCTGGAAAGGAACTAAAAAGCTCAATGTCGCTCCTAGCTTACCATTTAGCGTGGAGGGTGAGAGTGACCACACTGGGATAGCTAATATATTTAAACAACAGTTTACTGTCAGCTCACCTCTTGAGTCTGTGGGAAGGGTGATTGATGCTGAGTCTTATCGGTCAGGAGCACCCTTTAAGTTTACGTGTACAGAAATAAAAACAGCCATTAAATGTATGAAGCGGGGAAAGTCTCCTGGGCATGATGGGCTCAGCATTGAGCATCTTCAAAATGCCGGTGTACACTTGCCAAGAGTATTGACCATGTTTTTAAATCTTTGTGTGGGCCATTCGCACCTTCCACAGGAGATGCTCGATACGTTGGTTGTACCTATTGTAAAAAACCGGACGGGAGACATAGCTGACAAAGGGAACTATAGGCCAATTTCATTGGCAACTGTAATAGCCAAAGTGTTGATAGTGTGCTTGACGGGCACTTGAGTAACAGTACAAAACTACACGACACACAGTTCGGTTTTCGTGCGGGGCTGTCTACAGAGAGTGCAATATTAGCTTTAAAGCACACTGTTAAGTATTATACGGACAGAAGGACACCAGTGTACGCTTGTTTCCTAGATCTTTCCAAAGCTTTCGACCTAGTTTCATATAACGTGTTATGGGAGAAGCTTCGGGGGGCGGGAGTTCCGGCTGCATTGGTGTCAATATTATCTGTCTGGTATGAAAAGCAAAAGAACTTTGTGAAATGGTCCAATGCATTATCTGAGCCATATAAACTGAAATGTGGTGTAAGGCAGGGGGGTCTGACTTCCCCGAGAATATTTAATATCTATATGAACAGCTTGCTTGTTGAGCTCAGCAGCACGCATGTCGGTTGTCATTTAGACGGAGTAAATTTAAATAATTTAAGTTACGCAGACGATATGGTGCTGCTGAGCCCCACAATCGGGGGAATAAGAAAGTTACTAACTATATGTGAAAGATATGCTAAACAGCATGGGCTGAAGTATAATCCCACGAAAAGTGAGCTATTGGTATTTAAGGGAAAAAATAAAAGTCCTTCATATGTCCCACACGTAAAACTGAACGGATTACTTCTGAATAGGGTATCACAATTCAAATATCTGGGCCATATTGTGACAGAGGATTTAAAAGATGATCTAGATATGGAAAGGGAGCGCAGGGCGCTGGCTGTTAGGGGAAACATGTTGGCGCGCAGGTTTGCTGGTTGTTCAGCACCAGTTAAAATAACACTTTTTAAGGCGTTTTGTCAAATATTTTACACCAGCAGTCTGTGGGCTAATCATACCCAAAAGGCGGACAGCGCACTGCGCATTCAATATAATAACGCCTTCAGGACGCTGTTGAGGCTTCCACCTTACTGTAGTGCGTCAGGTATGTTCGCGGATGCGCACACTGATGATTATTTCGCGATCATGCGCAAAAAAGTGGCATCAGTGTTGCGCAGACTGAGGGAGAGCAGCAACGGCGTTCTGAGGGTGTTTGCAGAAAGGCTAGAAGGGCCTACAATAGATAGATTTATCAAGCTGCATGTCAGACGTGGGGCTTGATAATGCTTCTAATAATAATCTGTTCTGTATTTGTATTTGTGTATGATTGTATTATTTTGTTATTGTATTTTTGTACTCGTGTGTTACTACTAACATAGTTTTTAAGTTTGTACTGTTTACTAACACTCTATGGGCCGTCGACGCCTGATAATAAAAGATTTTTATTTTTATTTTATTTTATTTATTTTATCTAATTTATTTTTTATCTAGGACCTGTATCCCAGACCTTTTTATTCATGGAAATATGAGGTCGAGGGCTCTATAGGCTACCTCCCGACCTCTGGGACCCTTCACAACTAGTTACACACTTCCAATAAGTTTCCACTTCACTTCGATTTTGTTATAACTCGTCTTCAATTTGTCTGAAGAAAGTTTTCTTTTCTATGTAGGCGTATAGGATGATGTTATTGGTAATTTAAATATTTACGACACTACGTCCATGTTCATTATCTTTATGTGGTGTAACTTCATTTTCATTCTTCATTATCATCAATAACGGCCTATAAGTGCCCACTGCTAACCAAAAGCCTCTTTTCGCACGGAAAAGGTTTGACCATTAAGCACCACACTTGCTAAAGGCAGTTTGGCGATTTCCAACCTATAATCAGAAATTATAAGCCCAGCCCAGGTTTCCTCATGATGTTTTCTTTACCGTATGTCATTGGTGTCTAAATAATATTAGAAAGTGGTGGCGTCTCTGTCTTGTGTACCTTGCATATAACAATACAATGTTATTTAAGTAATATTACTTAATATTACCACTACATTGAACACACATTAACATCCCAAAACCATCAATATTATATTTTACGACTTCCTCCATCATGTACCATCAATATACCTTTACCTACACACTCACACACGCACACACACACACACACACATCTCTTGCACAGTTTACAACTAAATCTCACTTGAAGGTGTACTTAAACAGCATGTACATGCACATCAAACTATACAAAACCATTATATCAAGGTCTCGCTTTATATAATCTTTCAGAACATTTAAAGTTCAGTTTATACTGGATCCATTCCTCTTAGTGACGCCCCAAAGACCCCCCTTTTATCATAAATATGGCGATAATAACAACAACACGAGCCGTTCCGTCCCAATTAACTTTATGAGTTTGTTTACTGGCCGCCATTACTGTAATGTACGTCGTCGATACTCTGTTAACGACTGTATTTGCTTAGCTAAGTGACCACGGATGTATGTCTTGAAGTCTGCTTTTGGATCCATGGAGACGGTTTTAGGGGATACCGAGAAAATAATATATTTATTCTACTAATAAAAAATAAAATATGTACACCCTAGAATCAGAGTATATATTTAAAAGGGAAAAAAATGTTAACACCACAGCGTCATATGATTTAGTCGCAACCTGATATGATAAATTGACATGAGAAAGATTTCAATTAAAAACCATAAGTTAACGATCCACTAGCAATTCCAGTAAACAAATATTCCTATTCATGAAAAAAACTCGATCAATTAAATAGTCAAATATTTTCCAATTACACGACATTAGAACTAATTTAAATATCACCAAAACATCGAATTAAATTACTGTATCCACAAACTGAGTTTATCTCTAAATCCCAGTCTACACTGGCTGACTGTCAACATGGAATGTAAATGAAGCAAGTTGTCCGGCTAACGGTGACGTCACACGAGAGTCTAGGTCTAGACTCAGTTGAGGCTAGAACACCAATTCAATTATAAGTGGAAGCCTTATAGTTTGAATCGCGACCGTGTTATATAATTATATACTGTAAATTTTCATACATATATGTGTGTGTATACTATATGATTGTACATGTGTGCTGGGTTTAGTTTCTTGTGTAATCGTGTTTTGTTAAGAGGTTTTTGTCTTCTGTACAGTCACTGAATTGATTAAGGGAAATGCGACATTTACTTGCTGTTTATATTGAATGTCTTTTTTATTTAAACTCGTGAATCAATATCATAAGATCAATCCCTATTGACAGAAAGCGAATGACCGCGAAATTATTCATAACGTTAACAAACGCAACACAAACAACAAATTCATTATTATTTAAATCTTAAAATAACCTATTAATATTCACAAAACGTAAAGTTCAACGGATATTTAATTAAAAAAACGCTAAAGAAAAACCGCGCGCAAGACGCCACCGCCGAGAGCCGCGCGCCGGGAGCCAGGCGCCGGGCGACGCGTCCCACTCGAAAATTATTGAATTTGAATTGTTGAATCGAACTCATTATTCTGTCAGAGACACGAAGCGATCAATTAAAGGTTCTATAGCACCATGTACGACCGCCTTTTTCTTAATGGGAATCATTTATTGGGGAGGCAAGAGCAAATTGAATTGTTGAGACGCCTCGCCATCGGAATTCGTTTATGTTCGATATTGAATGCGGCCCGACATTGTTCACTGCGGCCCGGTATGGAAATGAGTGGAACTCTTTTGGCGGTCGGAATGCTTAGTGTGCGTGTGTGGTTTGTAAGATGAGCTCCCCTGTATATTTCATGTTTATAAGACCTTAGAATCTCGCTGCATCACATTATTTGTTAGTTTCCAGAATTCCTTCAAAAGTAATTTTTTACACTTTCCAAAAACATTTTGGTCTAAAATGAGAAAGTATTTTCGTGATTTGCTGTCATGTACATTTTATCTTCCAGTCTACGTGCACCGTGTAGACTTTCAAATAAAAATGTCTCCAGTCCAAATACTCTTTTTACATTTATCTTGAAAACGGCAGACAGTTCTAAGCTTTCAAGAATATCTTGTAAGGAGCTTATGAAAAAACCCATTTCATGTTACTTTTATATTCAAAGATGTATCCAAACTTTTTTATAGCCACTGTAAAGTATTTCATGTTTATTTTTGTGGTCTGGTATCTTTTGTGGGCAGCTCGAATTTTCTATTTAACTTCAAACATGCAAATTGTACAAACCAATAAACACTCACCACGTTCCCGTCACTATATTCTAAACACGGGAACAGACAATACAAAAAATTCTGCCGCCATTTTTTTTAGCAGAATAGAAAATTGTATGCGAAGCGCTCCTCGCGCCAACGCGTGCGTTCGACGTGAGAATTGTTCAGATTGACGTGAAATGGATTTTTGAATAGCAGCCATGTTAGATCGACCACTCGACCGGATGAAACCGGTTTGAGGCGGTTGAGACCGACCGTAAGCTGTTCGGGATAGTGCAAAATTAAATGTATTTTCTAATTTGAGAAGAAAATGTCAGAACCATTTTTGTCTTAATTTTTTGCATAAAGAGATTGCTATAGAGATTTCATTTTCTCATTTAAAATTAATATAGCATGAAACTAGAAATTTCCCGAGTTCTTGTACTTAATGATACCGTGTAACCTCGCTCAATATGTTCAACATTTATTTTATTCGACGTAACCTGATGTCATTAAGTTCTCTCGTTATTTCCTCCACTATATTATTACGAGAAATATCTTTTCTAGTTATTTCTTTGTCTTCCACATGTTATAGTTGGAACTTTCGTTTTTATTTGACTTTCGTTCAGAAAACATTCTGTAGTTTCAACAATTTCAGTGGAAGATTACTTAACAAGGTTCTGTAAGGTGAACAAAAGATCTGAAAGTGAACTCGAGCACTTAATCAGGAGAGTAGTAACAAAGGCTTCACTAATTTAAACATAAACCTTACCTACCTACCTATATGCTTACCTGCCTATATATATACCTGCCTACACACTCTCTCTGTCTCATTCAAGTACTCTGTGGAGCTATGTGATGGACTCAAATTAAACTGATAAGTTTGAAATATTTTCAGGTCTGAAAGATAATTATATGTTTTTCTTAAAATACTAATAATAATAAATCATTAGTTCATAAAACAAAAAGAAGTACACATCACAATATCATGGCACTTATAATTATGTTCAACTAGCGACCTGCCCCGGCTTCGCCCGAATGCAATATGCATGTATTATACAAACAAACCGTCCTGAAGAGTCACTTTATCTATTAAAAAACCGCATCAAAATCAGTTGAGTAGTTTTAAAGATCTAAGCATACATAGGGACAGTCAGACGTCGGATAGCGACTTTGTTTTATACTATTAGTGATGACCCATGTGCTAGGAAAACCTGAGTAACAAGCCTCATCCTACCGTCCGTTATATTGACAAGTACATATAAAAAGTGTAACATGCACTTCAATAGATAAAAACTAAGAAAAAATTAAAGTAAATAAACATCGGTTAAACTAACTAAGCATGTCAAATATTGGTGCAAGCTTAAAAAAGTAGCTAAAAACAATTGAAAGTCGGTTGATTTTTACTCCATAATTCACTTTTATGATACAAGATATTCGGGTATGTGTTAACATACCAGTGTATGTACCTTGTTTCGCTCTTCTTTGTTAGACAATTGTCTTACACAAGTCTTCTGGTTGTTACAGGGGCAGTTGGTGGTGATGGTGATGATAGCGACGATAAGGAAAAGGAGGAGGAAGCAGAACGCGAACGGCAAGAGGCCATCCGTGAGGCTGAGGAGAGGCGCAAGGAGAAGCACCGCAAGATGGAGGAGGAGCGCGAGAAGATGCGCCAGGAGATCAGGGATAAGGTAGGTCAATAAAAAAGGAACATTGCCAAAACCAATTCAAATTCAGAAGATGTCAGTCAGATACTGGAGCAGTTCAGCTAAAATTAAAGTGACGTACATCATCGAAGACCCTCTCATTCGTTGAAAAACTATTTGTTAAATTAAAACCAGCCAACCAGGGCAGGTTTCTGGCATCACCGACATGACGGCCAGCTGTCCATCTCCCGCACAATATGTCAGTGCGCCGTCGCACAAACGACTCGACAATTAATTCAGATCCGCGGAAGTATGTCAAGCGCCCTCCACGGCCCTTCCACACATGTCAGATAATTTGTTCGACGCGTCGAGTGCGCTCCGCCAGCTCTAGTGTGGGATCACCTTTATATTTCTGTTTTTCGGTAATTGACTGGCAAAATTGAGTGCTTTATTTATGTTAATTGGTTTCAATATTTATATAACTCGCCCGTGTTTTATTAAGATGATAAATCAACGAGGCGAGGCTTTATATTCATTTATAAAACTACGTCAAATTTAAAATATATCTAAGCTACGTAACTAAGACAGATCGCTTGTAAAACAAAGTTATCAAGAACCCCCACTTCATTCTGTAAGCTCCAGAAATAACGCTAAACCACCTCGAAGTGTGTCAAGGATAATTTTACAATGAAAATATCGTCTGCGAAACTCTCAGAAACATAAAAAAGCCGGCAAGTTATCCGGGCTAATTAAAAAATCTCTTTAAGACCGCCTTTATAACATTTAAATTGACCTAAAACCACGTAAAAACTGACATAAATCGTGGTCGGAATAAAATCGCGTCTTCATCTACAAAACAAAAGATTCGCGGGGCGGGTTTCACTTATTTTTAATTAAAAAATCCTAATAATCCCAACAGACCACGGTATGCGGACCACGACATTTTTATGGGGTTCCGTGGTGCTCCAGTGTGAGCACTGTAATTGAAGATTCCGTTCGCCGCTTTATTAAGGCATTGGGGTAAATAATAGGGGTGATATCGGACGGAATTTAATATAGAATATTATGAATCGTTCGCATTCCTTCGACTGCTGGTGTGAAATACATGGCGTTGCGCACTTCATCGCCCCGTGCTGGTTTTGTATATCTCAAATATTTCACTGCGAAGTAATAAAATAAATACAGCAGAGAAACAACCAATAAAAGAGATCACTTTTGCATAATACTTAGAATAACATAAAATATATTTACGCTTCTTGTTTTATGACAATAACAATTTTATAGTCATTGCAGTAAACGTAAAATATTATTGAGATAAGGGATCTTAATGTCGGTACCTAAGTTCAAATTAAAATCCATTAAAATTATGCAGATATCATATTTTTGTACGGAACTCCTAATTTAATGATGTCGTACTTGACCGTTTTTTATTTGGACCGTATTACTTTTCATCCGGCCGGAAGGAGAGAGATAAAAATGTGAAAAATGAAAATGTGGCATGGACATTAAACTAATTATATTCATTAATTTAACGCCTCGCGGTTAGCATTCAAAATAAACATTTTGGTATTAAGTAACGAGGATTATAACAATTAAGTTTAATTAATTATCCAAAACACCCATTATATTCGTTAATCCTGGTTTTTTCTGCGACCATACTAAAAACTGTAGACATCTAAACCGAATATGAGTTGAGTATAGAGGGTGTATGTAAAGCATTATTAATACGAAACAATATAATCTAGGCGCACAATGTTTGCGCTCGAGATTAAAGGGGAGCGATTGGTCGGCGCGTGGCGTTACGCAAACACCTTGTATAGCTGACGACGATTTACAAACAACATCATGTATATGACGGGATTAAGTTGAGAAGGTTCCGTTATGTTCCTTTTTGAGGGAAATTCAATTTCCGCGGTAGAAAGAAACGCTTAAAATTCATCTGGTATCGAGCTCACACATGAGAGGGTTCCCGAGGTATACGCGACAAAAAATGTTCAACGTTTACGTAAATATTTCTCATCATACATTTATTTACGTTCAATATTTTTGAGCGTATACTTACTTAGTGGTTCAGGTCACAAAGTCTCAACAGCTCCATTACTCGTAATCATAAAATATTTTAACTTCCTCAAAACTTTTCCATTAATAATTTCACGCATTTTATGCCAAAATAAATAAATAACCACAAACACGTGAAGTGCTTACTGAAAACTATTTTCAGGAGCTTTTAGCGTTCCAAAGCTTTTGAATAAATCCTTAGCTTTAGCTACTTTGTGTTTAAAGTTAGCGGCTGAAATATTTCATGATGTGCTGCTATGAAATGTGATGAAACTGAATTTCAGCTTCTTGCGGAAGAGCCTGTCTGCAAGTACCACTTCAGTATTTATTTATGTTGGACATACACAATTAATGAAATATATTTATTTTATATGAAGTTCACTGAGTTAATGCAGATCCATTTGACTTATTAGTAATGACTGAATATTTTTAAAATGACAAACGTAACCTAACAGATGTATGTATGACCTCTACCTCTATTTTATTACCATAAAATAGAAATAAATGCTTTGACTTTGACTATTATTTTACTAACAAAGTTTTTAAGATATCAGACCTTATGTTTCGACAATTCAAATAATGTTAGGTCCAACTTCAGAAATGAATTTTGTAGCAGGCTTCGAACTTTTACGCCTGTTTCAATCCTCCAGAGTATAATACATTCCAACTGCACCATAAAAGAGTACAGCAACCACCTAACTCCACTTAACCTCCATACATGCACTACTCACATTTTTCCATAAAAATAAGTACCACTAACCCCCCCCCCCCCTCCCCTCGCCTGTAACCGGTATAAAGACGGAGTGGCACTTTCCGCGTAATTTGCCGCGCCAGCCATTGTGCAGCTCTCGCGTCAAATTATGGGCAATTTACGCGCGCAAAAAGCCCAGAAACCACCGCAAGGAAAGTGACTTCAATTAGAAAGAACTAGATCGGGATTCGATCCGAGGAAATCATTGGCTGTAAAATCTTCCAGTCGTTACACTTACTATCTTCTGATCTGGGGAATTTAACAGTTTAAAGAAGTAGGTTACTACACGATATGGTTTTTAAATTCTTATTTATTTACATTTACATTTAACTGACGCTATTTAGTCATCCGTTTCCTCATAACTGAACATCAGGTCCTATCATTTGTACGTCTGATTTCAAATTATAAAATCGTACTACTGGCCTACTGCAGTAAAACCTTATTATTCGGAACATTTGTCACCAGTCTTCACTTACCGAAGCTCCCTCTCCTGGTTCCCTGTCACAACAAACCGGTATCTCTCGCAAATATCTACACAGGCTATAATAATTGGCGACACTTTAAAACTGTAACACTTACATTACTCGCCGGGTTGGACTATTAGGTGAGCCATTATGGCACCGCCCGCTCCACCGAAGTGTTCCAACGCTTTCCATCGCTAATAAAATTTGTACCCTAAATGGCTCCGTCAAAGGACCCTCCGTAATTTCAAGTTGGGTGCCGAGGAGTCGCAGACAAAAGCGGTAGCGATTTCTTAGTTCAGCGTGAATCGCTTCCTCTTATGATAGGATCCGACATCTATAATTTTAGATGTATGTAGGTATCTTGAATTGTATTATACTGAAAGTGAACACACAGGTTATAGTCGCAGTATATATAATATCAAGCTAGCCTAATTTCGAGTACTCCTAATAATTTTATTACGTCAAAATTACGCGACGTTGCTACGTGCATCTTGTACTGTTACTGTTTAAAAATATTGATAAAGAAACACGATTCTTATTTCAGTTATGGTTGAAAATGAAACCAAAATGAGGAAAATGAATGTTTGGAAACCGTTGTAGGTTGAGACAAAGAGTTGTAACGCGATACATTTCCCTCGCGACACCGAGACCTTCGCTGCGTCCAAACAAATCATTTTGATGCTGTTTGAATACCGTAGCATTGAGGAAAACCTGATGTCCTTTTGCTTTTTTACTATACAACATTCTAAATGATAATAATAACAATTTTATCACCATGCCATGACCAGATCACCATCTAAGTTACAAATATGTATAAACCAAATTTTCGATTATAACTTGACTCAAGTGTCTGTGTCAGTGCCTATATTCACTAGTAAACTTGATAGATAATATTATTTAAATACTGATACTCCAAAATTCAATTCTTTTAAATGTTTGTTAATGTACACGTGAAATCGAGTCGATAATAACTTTTGCAAATGAAACATCGATTTAAATCGAGGAAACGTTTCCAATAACCGTGCAACACAATGAGAGGCATCATTCGTTGTAACAGCGTTATAATAATGTGCGAAGAACCTCACCCTTCTAATTAAACGGAACATTCTTAAAAGGACAATAAAAGCCTTGGATTCGTATTCCCCCATCGGCTTTTAATAAAAGCACTTATTCCAGTGGCCGTACTATTAACATTACATTCCCTCTCGAGGTCCACCCTGCCGCCCTACCCTGCCTGACCCTACAATTAAAACTTGCAGTTGGGAAACTTTTACGCGAGTTGTCGCAACTTCCAGCGAATGTTCGCGTGAACGTGACGGAGCGACGCCGGACTTTGATGACGAGCCCTTAATTAAGTGAAGCTAAACTCCGCTCGGATTATGAACGCCTGGTACCTTGATCTCATTAATAAATCCCATGTTATCGCAATAAAACTTTTCTTCTATTTAATTGCTGTCAAATGAAGTTGTACTTCCTACTTCTTTATTATACATGTTTCCCTTGTTTAAGTATAGTTTAGCTCTCTACATTAAAACACAAATTATCTTTCCATTTAGTTCGTGAGAAGCACACCAATTGTTTCAGTATTAGTTGTTTCGTGAAATAGTTGTACAGCTATAAGGTACTATAATTACTACACACGAACAAAAGTGAAGCTAAGAATAGGACACAAATGAGTAATGATAATAAACGACACCGTTTTGTTTTAATTCCAAATAGGAAACTAGTTTTACTGTAGTGAACAAGACGTAAAGGGTAGTTCACAGTTATACAATAGCTAGTTATTAAGTTCATTAACCCGAATGAACTATAAGTGCGCCAGTTACAAATCGACGTAAAACATTAATTGTTGTCGCGTGACTGGCAACACAGTGCGTGAGTGTTGCCAGCCTTTACGTAAATTATTTATTAAACGATTATTGGCAACGGACAGCCTAATCATTTTCATTATGATAGACGTTTTACATTATTCAGTATTCAGAATTATTGAATAGTTTCTGTGAACTACTGACAGTGAATTGTTTTACCAATTATTCATACCTACAATAATAATTTATTACCGTCGTAACATCAATTGGTAAATGTCATTCAGTAGGTGGGATACTTTTTATAGAAATTAAGCTTTTCAATAACAAAATCTCGTAAACTGACCTAATCTTAGAACTAATGTCAGTACTACTAATGAACATTTTGAAATTCCAATGTGTTTATATTTTTTGTTCCAAAAATTGAAGAAATAATACTGAACTAGTACAACAAAGGAAACGAGCAAAAATTTTTTTCATATAGTGTTAAAATAGTAGGTACTATTTCTTCAACATGACCTAATCATAAGGATAAAAATGCTATGCCAAAGACTGTCAATCATGCCCAACGCCTGGCCTTTATTTGTAATTCTCCGGGCGAGCGATTATAGACCGTCTGTCCCAGCTGGTGATTATCCGCTTTCCAATCAATTAGCTTTAAATTGGCTATTAACAAGCAGCTGTTTGATTTGAATTTTATTCGCTAAGCCTTTGGAAATATACTCCCTCTGCGGAAACCCTTTGATTTCAAATTAGTAAGATATTGGGTAACTGAGGAAATTGTTACAAAAGTGACTTGAAAATAAGAATATTGTTGAAACTCAAAACGAAATTAAAATGAAATGACATCATAGGAAGACAAAGCTGGTTAAGAGTAAGTTTTTACTTAAGTGAAAAATTCTCGAAAGATATTGATCCCTTTGAGGTAATTTATTTATTTTATTTTGATGTACTGAGCTTCATCACATCAGGAACCTTGCATTGCATTCATCTTAAAAATAAAAATATCCAAATCATTGAACATAAAGCCTATCTTTGCTAGTTGATGTACTAGGCGCCAATAAGCTGTGAGGAGATATCAGAACAAAGTATTGGCAAGGGCAGTGGTGGACACCTTAGCAACATTCTAAATTTATTAAAGTAATATTTTTTTATGGATAACCCTGTATACAAAACATAATACACCAATATTTTCCAATATCATCATAGAACATAAAGCCTCTCTTTACCGGTTGATGTACCAGGCGCCTACAAGCTGTGAGGAGGTATCAAAACAAAGTATCGGCAAGGGCAGCGGTGGACTCGTTGGCAACACTTCCGATCCATTAGGCTCGCCGCACGATGTCAGTAGCGACAACAAATATGATTACATGAGCGCTTTAATGTTGTTAGATCGAGTTACGTACCTTGTTAGTTGTAGTGACGGTCTGGATACTGGTCGGTATAAACTAAATTGTATAGTGACGATAAGGCTTAAGCCCAATCTCTTTCAATTTGTTGGACAATGGGTAATGAGAGTTTTTCATTTTTAAATATCAGTCAATATGACACAAGGCTTTTAAATACGAACAGGAAAATACCCTTAGAGACAATGCTTTAGGTTACTAAATCAGAGAAAAGGAACTTTTATTTTCTCAAGATTAATCAATCTTCAAATAAATGTCTAATTTTATCAAAACATAGAAGTAAAAGAAATAAGTATGAATAAGTTTGTACGAACTACCGACTACGGTATTACTTTCAATGTTATTGTAATTCAAATGACCGTTAATAATCTTGAACCAAACAGCTGTTGCAACATAAACCGAGAGTTTCTAATCATTGTAATAATGTAGTTATTATCTGGATAAGCCTTCACGAGCCAATACTTCGAAATTAAACGATAAAACAACGCGATCTATGTATTGAACGAGAATGATAAGAACATAGTTAGCTACTGCGCAATAGAATACAGTTTAAAAGTGTACTAAAACAACAATAGACTTCACGTACTATGCCTTACGTAACAGCCCAATATACACGTCACAAACTACATTCAAACTTTAATAAATATCAAAGTAAGTACAGGATATATCAGCGACTGTGTTCCCTATAAAAAGGCGCAGAAATCCCTGTTTATGCAAACCGTACTTGCGAACGTTTACACGTCATTTTCCGAAGCCATGCGCCCCATAAACTTGCACATAGCAATTTTCCACCATAACACACACATACGCAGTACCCACGTCACTATAACGAAGTGTCGATGTGAGGATAAATGATCTTATAGCAATATCACACACATACAAGTAGGTACAATACCCGGTGATGAATATTGCACATTCATTTTAAGAACGAGACATTTTGTATGAAATTACAATTGTTTGTTTTTTTTTTATCTTCAACGACTCATAATCAATAGCAGTATACGCGGCAACTTAGCCGATTGTTTCTGTTTAAAAGTTGTGCAATATTTATCGTCTGGTACTGTACTTATATCTTTACACACGTACACATTTACATAATAATATGTATGCGTGCGTTATACAATGATGACGTAATTTGTGTTTGTGTGTGAAAGGTCTTGTCCAATGATAACGTCATTGTATGCGAGGGGTGAGGGCACCTACTTGTGTGCAATGATGCATTTATATGTTTAGTTCTACGCATAAAGTTATTGCGTATCAACGAATACAGCTGAGGGTTTTAAGTTATTTTGAACCATACACATTTGTGACTAGGTTAGTTTTCTTTTGCACAGATAATTCTTAATCCAACCAAAAATCTATCCAAGAATGTCACCCTCACTCTTTATACAGGTCCATAAACACAAAACCCAGTCTTACCAAGACTTTTATTTCTATAAGCGTAAGTATGTAAGTAAAATCAACTCCTTTTAACCTCGATACGACAGAAAATAAAGTAAATATTCTCTAACACACAAGAAACGCGAAACCATTACATTATAATATGGGCGACGAACTGTAAAAGTCTTTACAGCAATTTTTCGCATGACACACACACATACATACACGCGTATACACATATATTATACAGCGTGTGTTTATGTTGTACACATGAACAGCTCGGAGACAATAATGGAGAATAAACGGGCTATAAAGGGTGTTTTTTGTTGTGTAATTTTACTTATCGCTAGAAGTAAAATGTTTTAGTCAAAGCCTGCTGTGTTTTGTATGTGTACAATGTACATATTCTGAACTATAGTATGTAGATAAATGCAAATTATGTACAAAATGTATTCTTTTCAAAGTCAAATGTATGGTGTTACCAGTGACGTTTTATGTGTTTTTCAAAGTGAAAAGGTCCTATAGAGAAAAACGAACATGAAGCCCCGTGGCCACTCTTTTCCAATCAATTCTTAGTTAACTACAAATGTTACGGAAACTTAGTCCTAAACCGGATAACTATTGAATAAAAAGCGGAGAAGCTATCTATGTATCTATGAGTACATCCCGGTGGCCGCTCAATTTGTGCCCAGATGAGTTTCATAACACGTTTAGTGCGCCCCCACGCGGCAATCTTGGGCAAATTGGAACGGTTAATGATAGTCACGACTTTGATATTCGAAACTTTTATCACTATCCTAAACCTTGTTTTGGATGTTTATTGGTATTTATTGATACTGGCTGGCTTACTCGTGTAGTTGATTTTACCCCTAATGGGTAGAGTATAATTATACTTATGGGGAAGCGTTTTTTTAATAAGTATGCGTAAATTCGAATGATTGCAATTTTAACTAAAAATGACAAGGTACTTACATAAATATACTGAGAAAAGCTCTACTAGTTTCGAGTGGTTCTAATTTCTGTTTTGTCAACTAGCTGTGCCCGCGACTTCGTCCGCGTGATCACAGCTCCTCCTCCGTAAGCGGTAGCGTGATAATATGTAACCTATATGTTGAAGCAAATCCATGCAGTACCTTTTTAGTTTAGCCCGGACATACATACAGATAAACAGAAAATAATTCCATAAACAATATAATAATAATTCAAACTCAAACTCAAACTCAAACTCTTTATTTGCATGTTAAGGTAATACATACAGGTCTTATGGAATAACAGGCACAACTTAACGGCCTTTTTCAGGCGTTGCAAATTTTAGGGGTGTCACCAGCTTACTATAAATTACATTTTGATTAACATTTTTTTACATATTTATTTGTTCGGAATATAGGTAAGTACCATAAACAATATAATACTTTTGACTTTGGTATCGATTGTATATGACCCATGCATTCTTTGGAAAATATTCAATGTACAGTTTTCACTTTTCTACGATTTTATTATATGTATAGATTAATGTTGAAGTGAAGAGATTATACGTACAAGTCATAAGTATCATTCAGTGATGTAGAAATGAATAAGACAAATCAGAAAAGGCTCCATATCTTTATAAGTAATATAATAATACTAATACGTGTAATAAGACTTCAGTCAGGTATTCATAGTTAGGTATTTTATTGTCCTTAGCGTTATTTTCTTTTTCGATCTCTGTGTCTGGATTTTGGTGTGATGTTCTCACAAAATTAAATCAACAAAACTATGTAACTAAACAATTGTATTGTGACACTGATTAAAAAAAAAACCTATTTAGTTTCTTGCTCGTTCTTCTCCATAAGAATTTACACCTTGGAATGAGCAAATAGCTTCACTTTAAGTTTTTTTGTTGACGTTCAATAGTGCCTTTCTGGTCTAATTGACGTAAATGATTTTGACGTCATCATATTTATAGCTAACGAACGAAATACTAGCGAAATAAATTTAATAAGATTAGACATAGAAACTATTTCTTTCTTCATAATGTATATTTTGTATATGCACTCAAGAACACGTATTATTAGACAATGGACATATGTTTATTTAGAAAACTTACCATAAGGCCTGAGTTAAGTAACTATTAAATGAGTGTAGCCGTAAGTTTTATAATTATATATCTCTCATCAAGAAGAAAAAGAAGATAGAAGAAAGAAGACCCAGCTCATGGATGTTAAATTGACTCTAGTAGGGAGTCCGTATGTACGCGCGACTCCCTAATCGAGTCAGGTTGACTTCTTTGAGGCTAACACAACGACAGAAGATAATAGACGCAGAAGAATGGACATAGAAGGAAGAAGAAGAACATTTATATATTTATTTGTCTTTGTGTCTCCGTGTAGTTTCGGTATAGTGTGCAGTATATTGTTATTTAGCAGATTCAATGCTCCAATAATTTGTGATCCACGCAAACTGTTGTTGAATTTATATTTACTTCTATTAATTATGAAACTTTCATTAATGTTATTTCAGTGTCAAGCTAATTTGATTGTTCTTGATTTTGATCTGCACAACTTATCAATTCTTAAAAATCTTTTTCTATAAGTTAATATTTCCTCTGAAGGAATTAGAATTAAAGTTTTAAATGTTATTTAAAAAAATGGATCTTTTTGCAAAATGAACACGAGTAAATCCGGCTATATTTCAAACCAACCTCATTTTAATTAATAAAATCCTCGGGAATCCCCCGGCATGGGTAAGCCGACGATTATTTTAAATTTTCTCCTCCACGTGGTTGAAGTAAAAATGTAATTTCACATTTTTTATTAGTAGATGGTGTAATGTATGGTTTGGGACACTGGTGTACCTTAATGTATAATGTATGTTATGTCACAGTATCGTACTTTATTTCAATTAGTACATACTATATCATAGTACAATTCACATTTATAGTAGGTACTTTTATACAAGGTGTTGTTTTAAAGCCTCATCATTTTCTAATGTATTATTATTATCTAGTTAATAGTCTAGCATAATTTTACTTTAATATAGTAATTAAAAAAAAACATTGTAAGTGGAGTACATTGAAATAAATTATTCTTATTCTTAAATTATTCTTATTCTTAAATTATTCTTATTCTAGGTGGTAACTCAGATATCGATTCTGAGTCCGAATCAATAAAAAAAATTGTAGGTAAATATTTTTCAATTTTATGAAATTACGGGAATCCGGAAGTGCAAAGTACACCTCGCCGTCTTATAACTAGCATTATAACGCGACTTAACACACACAAACTCAAACACGTATTTTTAACAATTGGCCCGAATTTTTCTCTTACATTGAACCTTTATGACTTCTGTAACATGCCCTCGAGAAATGACACGACTTCAAAACTACACCTTGTATACATAGGTACTTTTCAAAAATATTATTGTTATTCTGTTGTGTTAAAAACTGTATTTTATGTAATGTACTGAAAACTATGTGTGTATGCGCCTCGACACAAATTGTGCACTAAACTAAGTCATCTAAAATCTATGTAGAAGTATAAATAGGTGCTGAAATAGAAAAGTCACGAACGATGCGGTTAATAAAATAAGAATCCTTGTAAAACTACAATAAAATCCAATTGAAAATCAATACCGACAAGTCTTCGTGCGATATCTGAGACAACCCTTATTACATCTCGCGAGGGTTGTCAACCGCAAATTATATCCATGAAATGTTCTTATCCAACTGACATTTCGACATGCTATTCACAGTTGAAAAGAAAAGGACACGAACATAATTAAATTTAACATTTCTTCTAGTAAAATATTATCTCAGGACATAAAGAACCTTTTAAAAACCACAATAAAATATCTAATTTAATACCAATACCCGCAAAGCCTCGTTCAATCTCCAGCAACCAGAGACAACCCTAATGAGATCTCCAGAGGGTTGCCAGTGGAAAAAAATGCTTTTAAAATTAAAATAAATTCTTCCCAAGACAGTCCCGGCTGCATGTAATCAATTGGAGATTAAAGGCAAGAGGATTGCTCTGAGCCTTTGCGATGTAATTTTCTATTTTATAATTAAGCCTCTTTGTGTCATCGATTTGAGGCGAAGCCACTTCGAGGGGTTTAGCGGACTGGACTACAATTAACTGGCTGTACTTGTGTAGCAATAAGTACGTATACATGCGTGTGTCGTGAATCCTGTTAGTACAATAGGTACTTACTTGGACAATATCTCTACATATATAATTACATATGAATAAGTATGTTCTAATACTCCGTTATTATCCAACTATCTATTTAAGAGTTACTTAACTTCAAGGAGTACCTAAACTCTTTATCTGTGCTTTTAGATATCACTTATAGGTTGGTAACATTAAAAATGTCTTTAAGTATTATCTACCTTAGTTTAGGGGTTCCTAAAATGTAAGAGAGATTGGTGAAAACAGGCATTTGACGTCGAAGTTTCGTTTCATCGCTCATTACTGGCGACACTACAATGTCAACTACAATATAAAGTAAAGACTACAAACGTTTAAACAGACTGCGCTATTCATTTCAAAGACTTTGTCATTCAATATCGCTGTACAAAGTAAGAAAACATCGATAAAGCAACAATACACAAAAACAAAAACACTTTGACGCCAAACAAACAGTAAAAAATAGCGAAGAAACCGGTTCCAATAAGTCACAACAAAATAAAGGCTGCATTAGTCCCAGCTGCGGGAATAAATCGAGAGTTTACAGAAAAGAAGCCAATCTATTTGAGTGTGGCAACACAGAGCGTTCAGAAATCGAACGCGCATTCCCTTTGGGAAATTAGGGTTGCCAGCTCGAAGCTCGTTCCGCTGAGGTCCCGTCATAGCTGGTTACGACAGAATAATATATTAACTACTGGTTTGATGGGATGCAATACTCCTTTGAGCTGCCCCGTCCGTCCGTGCAGTAAACGAAATCATTCGGCTTTGTAACACTCAGAGGGTTTCCTCTCTCAGACACGATCTCAATCAAATAACTAACTTAAACCGAAATAAAATTTGGGTAGTTCTTAAACAACTTCAATATTATTTACATTATACATGATTATCTGTAATTAATTGCCACTTCTCTGAGTGCATTGGAAACTATTTACTTAACTTAATACAAACCTAATACAATGTCGTACGTACGTGCGTAATGAATACACTTACACTTAGCAATAGCTAAAACTCAATGTTTGAAAATATACTTTGCTTTTTTCTCCTTGAAAATTAACTTTTTTTTTAAACGGGCCGACGGATCACCTGATGGTAAGCAATTGGCGTCGCCCATGGACACCCGAAACAACAGAGGCGTTACAAGTGCGTTACCGACCTTTTGGGAATTAGGAGTTTGAGGATTGTGGGGGATTCGGGGATTGGGGAGACTGGGGAAGGGGGTAATTGGGCCTTCGATAACCTCACACCACGAAACACAACGCAAGCGTAGCTTCACGTCTGTTTTCTGTGAGGCCATGGTATCACTCTGGTCGAGCCGGCCCATTCGTGCCGAAGCGTTTGTTTTAAACTATACTTTAAAACAAATGATTCTCAACTTTTGTATACCAATCCACCTGTTTAATCTTGATACATATAACATAATTGATTCCGACAGATTGTTAACCTCTCACTATTCTACTTCCAGTACAAAATCCCGAAGAAGGAGGAGGTGGTGGAACAGCAGCAGGCCGAGCCTGACAACCCCCTCATGAGGAAGAAGAAGACTCCTGAGGAACTCGCGGCTGAAGCGGAGCTTGAAGACCAGGATGAGTTCACTAGTAAGTTGACTGCACTTCAAATACAATGTTCTAGTGACATATAGTCTATTGGTGAACTTTGTCAAAATGTTTATTTCGAATGTTTCAGAACTCAAAAACACCATCGAAACACAAGTGAACGAACTAAAGTCGCAGATCGAGAGCAAGTGCGTGATGCAGTGAGCGCCTCTCGACCATTGTACAACTATCTGAATACATGATGTAGCTGAGCTAAGGTCATTGTTACGACGATGTTTCACACCCTGTATACACCCCACCACCCACACGAGCCCCGGATAGCGAATAAACAAAAACTAACAATTTCGTTCGGACGTATCAATCATTCGCGCTCAAAATTTTTGTAGGAGAGATTCGAATTCTAAATTTTTTCGGAACGTAGTTGGCTAGTGGCGCGTTGGTGCTTGATAATAAGCAATAATATTTTTATACATTCATAAAAAATTTTTGGAAGGCAGCCCTCGATACAACTGTGAAGCGCGTTTCTGAACGTATGGTCAAAAAGTCATTAACTACCGAGCGTCAGATGAACGCAGTCGTGCACTCGTCAAACAGTTTATATGTTGAAGCTTGTGATATATTGTTATTTAAGTGTAAAGTTGAAATAATATAAATACAACTAGAAAGAAACGGTGTAATCTATTTAAAATGGAAGACAAGTTATTATAAGAAACTCTAGCACGCGTGTAGACTCGACAATCGATTACTCGACTATTCATCGCCTTCTCTTCTCTATTTCGCACTTACATTGAAATAACAATGTATTCGATCTGTCGGTGTATTTGTTTCATCCAAATTCCACGCTTGTCTGACGGTCTGTCCGTTTCCCGTGGTCTCACTACGACTCGCTTGAGCTCTTCGACTTTTGCCTCTAAATCTTTTGCATGCGTGCTTATGCAGTGTTAATCTATGTGTCAATGTAATTTCTGTTAGGTGTACATACCTGTAATCGACCTAGCCTTAATATCCACATCGAATATAATAGGTAATTGTTATGGAGGCGCGCCGCGCCCGCTGTTGTCCAATACTTTCTTGCATGTTTAATATAAGACTCAATGTTCATTTAGTGTTTAATGTGTAAAATGTTGTAGATAAACAAGTGGATCGCGTTGTGTTACCGTCGCGCCGACGAGCGTTGTTCTAATCTAATGTTTTATCGATGTTTTACGCTTAGGTATTAAAGTTAAATAACACATTGTGGTGTGAGCAAATTATTCGAGCGATTGCACCAATCGGAGCGGACTACAAATGTAAACTTTGTTGTCGGCAGAGAGTTGTAATGAATATCTATTATTGTCAGTGGTCTCAAAGTAAGAGCTAGACGGCGCACGCTGACAGCGGGTCGATGGGGCAGACTTGAGGGAAGCGCGTAGTGAAGGCAGATCGTGCTAATTGTTCGAACAATGTTGTCCACATAGTTATAAAGCTGCAAATGCAAAAGATTTGTTATCGTCAAAAGCTGTGATATATGAATATAATAAACTAAAGCGCGCAATGCGACGACGCTCGCGCTCTTAGCTTCTTCAATCTTTCAATCTTTCAATGTTCGACACGAAACTATCATTGTACCTTCTTGTAGATCGGACCTCTTCGGATTACAATCTCTTCAATCAGCACATCATGTATTTTATATATCTCTGTTATATGTTCACACGCGATGCTCTCTGGTGACAGTAGCTTAGTAAGTTCTCAGTAGACTTGTCTTTAGATCTCATGTGATAGCTGAAGTGGTACATATTATACATGTTGCAAGTTAACTGACGTCGATGTTCACCCGTGCACTGTGTCCGTTTACGATAATTACGACTTACACAAACATAGCTGTATCCATAGGTTAATTTGTTAATTAGTTCAAACATTAAGTACAACAGAATAAGGACACTGACACCAATCTACATAGTTTAGTTTATATCGATGGCACATCACTAACTAGTCGAGTTGTCAGACAGTTGGTCGATGCATCGATTCGCAACCAGTCGCATCGCGTGTTAAATACTAAGATTATTTTAGATACTTCACTTACACACTTGATGCTTGCTTATTTTCTTACGTTATATGACGTCCTGTCAATTACACCTACCTTCTCTTCACACATATACTATTCAATATACAAACATGTAAATAAAAAAGCAATAATTTCAGATTGTTTATTGAGAATGCTACTATTTTTCTGAAGTATAAGAATCGACTATTTTTCGCACTGTACTGCACTCGATATATTATCATAGCTTGTCTCATAGTTCCCTTGTTTGGAGCACGCATTACGCATCGCTAACGTAAGGTGGGCATCACTCCTACGGCCCCGTCCGGCCACGTCACTAGAGTAAGCGAAATATATACTTAACGTTTCACGATGTATGTGTGGTTAGACTAGGTAATAATATATAACATAGTTGTACCGTATGTGCATGGCAAATCTAGCTAAATGGTTGTATGTAGACATTCAATACAATAATAGTCGGTAAGTCTTGGACCTGTCTGATGACCAAGTTTCGACAGAATCTATCTTTCCTTCATCCTCTTGTGTGTTAGCTAATACTAATCTATAACCTTTGTCTATATCTTCGATCTATCGTAGTGTAGTCTGCGTTCTACGTTGTTGACTCTCAAGTAGCTGATAGTTTAGATAAAATGTTATTTTGGTATAGAGCGGTCTGTACTGAGGAGTGTGGACTTACTGTCACTAATTTAAAATTAACGGAACGTGCGGTCGCTGCGCGGGCGCCGGGCCGCCGGAGTCGCGCGGCGCGGCGCATGCGCGGCTCGCTTTGGTTGCTGCATGACGTGTGCGCAGTGTGCTCAGCTCTTGGCGTGTTGGTGTCGTTCTCTACTAATTAGTCGCGTGCGCGTGTCGAGCTGTGTGTAAACATAACGTTAGTCGCTTCTATTCTCGTGTATTTAAGCTTTCGATGTTCAGTGTAATAGTTGATAGTGATAACGTTGCTTCACTGCGCCACTTCTTAAGGAATTTGGGTGATATCAAATGGTTGTTGAATTATTTTATGTACCTAATACGAACGTGTTTCTGCTGTCAATGTTTGTGTTACAAGATCGTGGTGATGTAACTGTGTATACATCGATCTCTTCGCCCTGTCTGTCACCGTGTACTCTATATCTTCACACAACACTATATTATTGTATTTCTTTTTTATAATATTATAGTGAATTTATAAAGAGGTTTATACAAGGTAGACGTGTAGTTTAGACATAAAGAAAATTATTGTAAAATCAAAATTTTTGAAAAGAATATAAAGTAAATGATTTCCGTATAATGATCCCGTAGTGTTAATTTTAAGGAATCCAAGATGTCGCGACCAATTTTTATATGTTTTGCCACGAGGAAGTAATTGATGTAACAGTTGGATATTTTCAAATCTTATGACTCTCATACTCAGGGTAATATACTTATAGTTATCTGTTCATAGTATGATTTAGATCGTTTAGCTATGAAATGTATGACTTTTTGGCCTACGAAGGCTTTCCTTACCTTTCTTCTTACCTCTTCCTCTATATGTGACCCTTGACCCAAACGGTAGAACGTCTTGATATTTCACTGTTGTTCTTAAATCCTTAGAGGAGTTATGAAATGGTAGACTAAATAACATTTTATGACATAACTTGTTAAACTTATTAAATAAACTAGCCTATTGATAGTTGCACTAGGTATAATGTAAGGGGTGTCACGTGATGGTGCATTTGTCGGCACGGCCGCTCGCAGTGACACGTGATAATACTAAAGCGGGACAAATGCATCATTATCTGCGGAGTTACAAAGAGACTGCGCGAGCGCCGGTAGTGCTATCATCTGACCAGAGAGAGAGCAGACGCTATGAACGAGAGAGTTAGTAAGCAAGGCTACACTATGCAATACTGTCGTACACTCAAATGATAACCCTACCGATACTCATACATTCATAAACTGTTCGTTGCTGGCAGAGACAAACGAAAGGCGGTCGGTGATTGCAATACCGTATAGACAGTTAGAGACAACGACACTGTACCACACACTCAAGAGCTTTTACACTGAATGCCAATATTTGTTTGATGTTGTTATTGTTTCAAGTCTCGGGCGGCGCAGGAGTTGCAAAGAACTGATTATAAAGTGCCACACACATACAGTAACTGCGCTGACATGGTTCCACAGAGTCTGCGCTGTCGGTGGAACGGTTCGATGTGATTCTGAATCGTTTACAAATATATTCTGTTGTTGGAGGAGCGCGCACAGTATGGCCGCCGCGCTCCGAGTGTTGTTGTACGGCAGGCGGCCGCACTGTCCGCGGCTCCATTCTTGTTTGTATATTATAGTTATTGGCCAACACACTAGTTCGTTAGCTTTTAATATTAGTGACATTATAGTGTTAAAATTGCAAGTTTACAGAATGTATAAAATTCCAATGAAACCATTAAGTACTCATATATGAACGGGGTTCATATGTATGTTGTCTTGTTATATTAAAGAAGAAACGGTTAGTAGTTTATCCACAATTAAATTTAAACTTAGGGATTATGGATGAATAACGAAAAAGGTTATTGTTGAAAAATGTTTTTAGGTAATTAAATAAACGGATTGAGCTTCTGTGACACCTTGTTGTTAACAATAAGTTAGGTTTGGTTGCAGTGACCGCCCGGCCGCGGCCGATTCACGCGCCGACGCCGCGACCATATGTCGGCCATTGACCTCTGTACCCTGGCCAAATGTTGAATCGGCCGTGCAGGGTGTGGCTATCTTCTGGCTGTATACAAACTGCCGTAATAAACTCTATTCTTATATAAATAAGGTTAGTTTTCCTTTCACGACTGTATCACTGTAGGACATAGACGCTTTTTCGCTACACTTCGTTCGCCATTACTGTTGCGGAGCATTGTTAATATTTATTTACAAGGTCCCTATTAGTTATTGTATAAAAGTTTAGAGGTAGCCATTTTCATATATGTACGTTGAGTTAAATGTGAAAATGGTTTACCTAACATGTTGTTAAATAATAAATAAACTACATTGTACCACTATCTGTTTGTTTTATTTCACAATTCTGTAAACAACAAACTTAACTGTACAACCTGGAATAGAAAATCGTAATGGAAAAGTTCTTGCTACAGCGCTAGAGCCGCTACGGCGTAGCACTGGCTACGGTGCGCGTAGCAACAGTAACCACGGCAATATACGACACTGATGACATGTAAATATATTGAAGAATAACTAAAGAGAGGCTTGAAAATTAAAATGCAGCTAAGCTTTTCTTTCAAAAGATTGGCAGAAGCGTAGCTGCAGTTTGGATGAATCCCTTTAACTACAGTATAATAAAGCAAGAAAATTTTTATACCTCTACATACTACTATCGAGAATTTCCAAATCGAAAAGTCTAAAAATTCTTTTAACACACCGTCACTTGGGGGGAAATAAAATTGTAACAAATAATTAATTTACGTGTAATTATTTTAATCACTTACATACCTAATATTAAAGCTAACCTAACCTATTCACTGTACATCATCTAACAAATTAACAGCATTCCATACTTTGTTCAAGTTCTTATTGAAATCTTCCAACATATGCAGCATACTTCTCATAGTAGTCTTAATGACTCCATGATTAGAATCCGTGACCCTGATTGTAGCACTATCATCAGACACTTCAGTTTTCAAAATAATTCCTTCAGTGGAAATAGGATCACCTTCCATCTGTTCTTCTGAAGTTTCTTCAAATTCTTCATCTAATTTCTTCAATAGTTTTAAGAGTTTCGCTTTGTTTTTACCAGTGAGGTCTATTTCATTTTCAGCTGATGTTTCTTCGACGTCATTATCAACACTCCTTCTCTTTCTCGCTAGAGATTCCAAAATGTTCGTTCCTTCTTCTGATTCTGTCTTCTTATGTTCATTCTTATTAGTATTTTTGTCCAGAGTTTCAGGAGTTCTCTTGCTTACGTCACTTTTATTTTTCTTGTTAATCTTCTTTAGAAACTCATCACTCTCTTCTGCAAATGTTTTCGTCGTTTTTGGTTTTCTATTCTTTGCTCCAAAAACTGGACTGTCTTCTTTCAGAGATTTAAATGACCTCACCTTGGAAAGTTTCGGATATTTGTTACTTTTTTTGTATATATTTAGTCTTGGTATATTAGACCGAAGTTCTTTCAAATCATTTAATCTCTGTCTCGCTCTTTCCAATAAATCATCTATAAATTTTCTCGGGTTCGGTTCATATCTTTCTTGGTCGTATCTCTTACTAGTTCTATGTCTGAATCCATATTTTCGAAGTTTACTTCCATATCTTGTATCACCGATATCCCTTCTGAATCTATCTTGACCCAAATTTCTTTTGAAAACATCTTGTATTTTATCTAAATCTCTATTCATGTCACTAATTCTGTTTCTAAGAGCATTATTGCCGGGTAAATAAGTATCAATATCTTCAAAGTCATATGAAAGATCAGCTATATGTGCGTAGTCATCAAAATCATCGTTAACTGAACGTTTAACTCTGTGAGCTTCATGATCGACTGTTTCTGCCTCAACTAAAGTTTTGTTTTCAATCACGTTGTGGCAGGCTTCAATCTTAGTGTTAGCTAGTACCCAGAAACCAAAGGATCTTGCTGGCAAGTTGATGAGAAGAGTTTTATATGGGTGGACCCTTTTTACTATGGGTTTTATGTTGCCTTCATAGTACATAGGCCGACCGTTTACTACTATATTCCTGAAATTAAAAATTCAATTAATTAATTAATTGATAAATAAAGTTGCATATTTTTATTGGTTTCTTATTCGTTTTTTCGTTTACTAATATGGTCAATTTTCTTTTATTTTTGTTAATAAGAATTTAAATTAAATAAATATGTACAACTTAAAATATAAATAACTAAAAACTAAAATATTTACATCTTAAAAAATAATAATAAAAATGCAATAATAAGACAAAGTTGCATTAATCTTAATTATCATATCTATAAGTATTCATTACGTGATTCCACAAAAACTCTTACCCATTATGATCATTTCCCAGAATGAACTGCATGATATCGCCACCTTCCTCCCTCTTTGATAATTTCAGTGAAAATCTCGCAGGTTCGTTATCCATGTTCGCTCCAAACAGAGTAACAGCGCCGGGCACAGGCTTGTGACGCAACGATGTACAGTGTGCAAAGAGAACTGCTGGTTCTGGGTCCATTTCTATATTTAGTACTCGTTCACCAACCAGGTTCTTGAATAATAGAGCCATATAAAAGCTCTGAAAAAAAAAAATGGCTGTTATGTTATAGCCTAGGTCCTACGTGCTTACAAGAATGTAAGGGGGAGTTCGGAGTTGATATCCAGGGTTGGATAAAGTATTAACATAACATAACATAACGTCACGCCTTTTATCCCCGAAGAGGATAGGCAGAGGTGCACATTATACCACTGTACAATGTAACACCCACTTTTCACTATTTATGTTATGAGTCCCATGTAATAGGGGGTGAGCCTATTGCCATATACCGGGCACAATTCCAGACTCCGTGCTACTACTGAGAATTTTTTAAAAACCCAGTAATACTTTGCCCGACCCGGGAATCGAACCCGAGACCCCTTGCCCGGCAGTCGCACTTGCGACCACTCGGCCAACGAGGCAGTCTTAACTGGTTTAATATTTTCAAAAATACCTCAATACATTATAAAAAATCAGAGTCTGGTATTTATCCTGATGTATGGCAACAGGCTCGCTCTTTATGCATGGGACTTTCATATAATTGAGTACAATTGTGCACCTTTTCCTGTCTCTCTGGAGAAGTTACTTATTCATTATTAGACTAAATCATAACATATTCAGTTTCTTAAATAAGCATTTAAACTCACCAGGGTAGGTTCATACATTTCCTCCTCCTCTAACTCCCGAAAATGTACAGCAAATCCATTTTTAGCTGAGTAGCCAAGACTAGCCAACCAATCAGCAGCTCTTTCCAAGTCGCTGTGCTGCTTCTGATTGGTCTCCGTCAACCAGAGTGGAGTCTGACTCCGGGAGAAGAACCGCAGTAGCTTCAAACGATCACGCTCACTCATACGCTTTAGTTCATGCGATGAAGAGTTACTATAAAAAATATTAGATATTAAAAGAAAGAATACTGAAATACTAACTTTGTTGAGTTTAGAAAGAGGTCTTGGGCTCGATTTCTGATCTGTGCAGTGTTCACTTTTGGAAGTATGTACATGTACATAGTAAATATCACCTTCTTAAGGAACCCTTGTTTCGATAAAGGACGTCATCATCAGCATCCGGCTGAGCCTGATGATGAAATATCTACTTCGATAAAATAAGTACAATTTAGCTACATACCCATTTAACAGCAAGGCGTCCATCATATCGTTGGACAGCGTCAGGTAATCCTTGAAGTCACTCTTAGACTCTGCCTGCAGACACTTGGTGACGTCACCGCCCACCACCTTCCACTGCTCCGTGCGACCGGGAGGGAAGGTCTCCGTGATGGCGCGCAGAGTCTCAAGGTCATTCAAGTATTCATCTATTGACTGATTCCTACATTCTGAAAGGAGGAAAATAACTTATTTGGTAAATTGGGAAAATAGGTAGATTACTTTTATATCTGTATATCTTGATCCAAACTATCAAATAAACATTACGAGAAATGTACTAAGTATCCAAGGCAGAAACATTTTTTAATTCAAACCGTGGAAAATGGAGTTTTGGATATTAGTGCGCTTAAAAAACGAGTTTGTGATTTCTAAATACGTTTTAATTTAAACCAAAGAGAAGACTCACCATAACCGAGCTCCCAGAAGATATCCCCAACTTTGACCTTCTCAGCCACGGTCAGAATATTCAGTGCCGTATTAGGATCCCACATACCGGCCGCAGTTCTCTCCTCATTGTTCAGAGCGAATACCAGGTCGAAACCAGTGGACTTGGCCCACTGGACGAACTTCCTCCACTGTCTATGAGACACTGCCAAGTTCCTAGTTTGGTGGTGGTCACCAAGTTTCTGAGGAACATCAGTATCGAAGGCCAGGACATCAAAGGTGGACCTGAGGAGGTCTTTGTCAGGGAAATCGACATCGTTGATGGAGATAGTGGTGTTGTGGAAGGTCATGTGCGCTGTGGATGGGCCAGCTATTCGGAGGTAGGATGGTGTTAGTGATGCCGCCATGCAGATGCATTCTTTGCTGTGAAATGAGAAATGGTAAAGTTAAGGAATGTCAAAAGTATTATAAAACTTCCTTAATTTTCTTCTTTTAATAAAGGACATACATAGGTGCAACTTTTAAGTTTTAACAATTTTAATGAATTACAGAAAAGTTGTAGCATGGCAATATTATGATTGTGCCATGTAAAACAATACAGTCATAGGCACTAGGCAGACACTGCCTCCATCTTTCAAGTCATAAACATGAGTTACACAAAAAAAGTTAGACATACCTGCTATACTTGTCGCTGCTAGAAAATAAATACTTGGGGTCTATAGTGAAACTCAGGAACCTTGTGTCCACCACGTTGACATGTTCATCTGTGCTTATCTTTACGCTATAAGTATCAGAACTACACAGACTCAGGTATCGGAGCAGAAGGAACAAGAACAAATGTATAGTTGCAGCCATTTCATTGACTTCGTCAAATAAAATGTTGTCTGTGACGAGTGCAGTTTATATTAAGGGCGACACAGGAAGCTTTGTGTTGTAGTCAAAGTGCGAATTAGTTATTTTGATTTTATGTCCTTGTTCTTTGAAGAAGGCACACTCCTGGTGCGCTAAAAATTTCTACGAGAGTAGAAACGTCTAGAATGCGCTATGAGACGTCAGTGACTGACTCGTAGTATGTTCGGGCCACGGTATGAATATTTTTGGTAATTCCAATGATAAACCTTCTAATAGAAAAAGTATAGTTCTAAGACTCAAGGCGTGTTGTAGATCACTACGTAATAAATAATAGCACTTGTATAATATTGTATTCTATTGAAGATAAAAAAAACGTTTATTAAAAACACGATTCTCGATTACAGTCTGCGACACAAAACTGCTGACTCAATGTACCCGCGAAACTGTAGACCTCGCACATTTCGCGTAATATACATAACTTTAGCTGATATTACACAATCATTTGTTTACTTTGTTATTTCTACGGAACGGCACGTTTGCCTGTATACATTTCTATTGAATGCTTTTTGCAAAACGTCATTCATCATGTATTCACGTTCGTCTCTTAAAATATAGGTACCTCATCTCGGGTCACATTCTCCAAGAGGGTGGAAAAAGGTGCATAATTTTGTTACAAATAAATAGTCTCCCGATCGATTTTTATATGGGTAAGGGGGTAAACCAGCAGACGGATCACCTGATGGTAAGCAATTGGCGTCGCCCATGGACACCTGGAATACCAGAGGCATTATTAGTGCGTTATGGTATGGATTCGAGGGGGACTGAGATGCCGTCTCCTCCTTTTTCGAAGCAGTTATGCTAGCTAAGGAGGAGATGGGGTGCATGAGGTAGCGAAGCGCCGCCACCTCACAAGCCAGCCGGGATGATCTCCGGCCACCGTAAGCACGGGCCTGCAGGCGGCAAGCATGGGTAGCTCGCCGCCCGACCCGAACCAGACCCGCGCGTGCGGCAAGTCGCGTTCCGCGCGCGCCTCAAAAAGCCATCATACCAACACAGATTGAGCCTAGTAGGGCTGATGCCGATACGTAGCCTCGGAGAACTTAACGGGTTACCGGAGCTCCGGCTCGAAGTGCAGTAGTAGGAACGGGGTGGTTTTTAGTCAGTAACAGTCGGACATACCTCCCGCCTCTCGTAGGCGGGAGAGAGAGCCATTCGATGATTTTTCCACCCTTAAAAAAAGGATTGGAGAGATTGAAGGAGGGGGGAGGGGTAATTAGGGTTCCGGTAACTTCACTCACACGACGAAGCACAACACAAACGTTGTTTAACGTCGGTTTTCTGTGAGACGTGGTATCACTGCGGTCAAGCCGGTCCATTCGTGCTGAAGCCTGGCTCTCCCACACTTAAATTTCGATCACGGTGGCCGTGGTCAGTCTGCCTGCGATGCATGAGACATCATAATATACAAGTGTGTTCCGTATACTTAGGGGGACTGTCTTAATCCGATAAGGCATCAGTCCGATACGACCGGACACGATGTTTTCAAAGCACAGGGGTGAATGGTGAATTTGCTGACTGTAGGTTAAAAAAATAATTTTACTCGAAAAAAATCAATTGTAGTACAGCAGCCAGTTATCCAACGACTTCGTCAACTAAGCACTTAAGTAAATAACATATTTAGATTAGATATTAACAAATAAAATATAAAGTAAGTAGTTAATGGCCACAGCTGGTGTAACCCATAATAATAAATCTAGGTGTAAAGTCCTCATCACTACAAATTATCAAACCCAAACACAAAGTAGCTACGGGTAACCGACGAGGAATTCCCTCAACTGTCGTACCACTTCATCATTAAACCCTTCATGACAATCACATCCCATCTAGGTGTAAAATCCCCATCAATACCAATTATCAAACCCAAACACAACATAGCTACTGGTAACCGTTGAGGAGTTCTATCATCTATCGTACTACTTCGTCATCAGACCCTTATTGACAATTACACCCCACCTTGGTGTAAAGTCCTCATCAATACAAATTAATAAAACCCAAACACAAGATAGTTACTGTTAACCGTTAAGGAGTTCCCTCAACTATCGTTCTACTTCATCATCAGACCCTTATTGATAATTACATATATTATTACCTAGGTGTAGTGTAAAGCCCTCATCAATATAAATTAATCAAACCCAAACACAAGGTAGCTACTGTTAACCGTTGAAGAGCTCCCTCGACTGGCTTTCGGCTCCATCATCAGATCGACTCCAGACCTTTATCAGATTGTAGTGGTTTTGAATACTTAATGAAAAACTTAACAAGTGCACCAGTCGCTCCTACAATTTTTAAAAGTTCCCCTCGAATCCCCTGGTCTTCCATCATCAGATCCTGATTTCCTTATCATGGGACCATTCTGAGACTATCTCCTTTCCAACAAAATAATAATTATCAAAATCAGTTTATAAATAACGGAGATCAATATCTCCGTTATTTCGCCGATGCGAACAAACATAAAAAAGAATATATACGGTCGAATTGAGAACCTCCTCCTTTTTTGAAGTCGGTTAAAAATTACCTCGGTGGCCATCATCATCACCTATGGGGGGCACCGAGACCTCTATAATAGACCTGCTCCGGAACCCCCCGGTGAAACGCCTGTGACGGCACATCACAAGAGGGATATGCATGTCCCATAAGACTCGCTATGCACGGTGGCACGTGACTACTGTGCCACCGTCTTAACTGAGGTCACTGGGTGGGTGCCTAGAGTCCCCGCTCTGCCTGTAGATAATGCAATGCAGGTATGATATCGGCGTGTTAGGCGCCAAGGCTGTTACCTCCGCGCCTTCTACGAGCACAATCGGTTCTCTCACGATTCCGCTCAGCAGCCTCTTTTTGAGAAATTACCGTCTCACAAAAAGGCGCCCCTGGGCCTAGGGGGCCCACTACGGGCGTAAGCAATAAGTAATAAAAACTTTTATTTTATTTTTAGTAGTTATTAATTAGATACCTTGTTTCTATATCAAATAATTATAAACCTAAGTATATCACTGTAAAAGAATAAAACGTATTTATTAAAGTTACATACTTAGTAAAGTCAAAGTCAAAGTCAAAATCATTTATTTCAATTAGACCAATAAGGCACTTTTGAACGTCAAAACAAAATACTTATTTAAATATTAAATAATAAGAAAAAATAAGAAAAAATGTCAGTCTGTAGATCAGTCCTCTAGTGAAGCTATTTGCTCGTTCCAAAGTGTTGATTCCTATGGAGAAGAACGAGCAAGAAACTCCATAGGTTACTCTTTTGCATAGGTAAGTATATGGTAAGTATACATTATAATAATATAAAACGAGTAGATACAATGTGGTATGTTGTATAAGGCCGTTGAAAAATAGTGTTGTACTAATGCATATACAAACACATACAAAAGAAATACGCAGTTCCTACATTTCTGATAGATTAATCTTTATTGCTCAGTATGAATTAATTACAGAATACGAGTAATTATCAAGATCATGTTGCTCTTTCTAAGCAAAGCTTTCCTATTAGGTCTTTAACTGTTTATAAATAAATCAAATAAAAAAATATTTTTTTATTTTTAGCACGAACGCAATAAAAATGTACCTACTACAGATAATAAATTTTTACTACGTTTGACATTTTCGACGTCACTAACCACAACTGTCAAACGCTCATACAATGACTTATGTCATTAGTCACCCGATATGTTTCTGCTTTGTATTTATCTCGAAATATTTTAGCGAAATACAAAGCTATCGTTGCAAACAGCAAATATTACTGATAAACACTTTCACGTAACGTGTGATAGCGTATGTCGGACGCATGCGATGGGAACAAGTGGAAAAGTTTACTATGAAATTGAATTCCATATTTTTCCAAGTAACTGGGAGTGAGTGAGTGTTTATATTAGCTAAAATGGATAATAACAGTGATAAGAAAGACGATGCTAGTGCTCAGAAGAAAGAAGTGCTCTCAAGTTTACAGAAAATATGTTTAGTGTGTGGTGATAAGGCTCTAGGTTACAACTTTAACGCGATCTCGTGTGAGAGTTGCAAGGCGTTCTTTAGACGAAACGCCTTGGCTAGCAAAGAGTTCAAGTGTCCGTTCACGAACAACTGCGTAATCACAGTGGTGACGAGGAGATTTTGTCAAAAATGTCGATTAGAAAAGTGTTTGTCTATAGGCATGGTAAAGGAATTCATTATGTCGGAAGAGGACAAGGCGGAAAAGAGACGGAAGATAGAAGAAAACAGAGCTAGGAAACGACAGCGCGATCCTGACGACGCAGTGACTAGCTCGAAGAATTTGAAGAGGGATGATGAGGGTGATACTGGACTCATCCCGTTGCAGGATACTGTGATACAGTATGACACTCTCAGTACGACGTGTAGCCCTAGTAGTACGGTGCAGTCCCCACTGGCCAGTGATCTAGAAGCATCCTTACACTCCCCACTGTACAACTACACTCCAGCGCCACCTGTGCCCACAAATGAGCAGCCGTACCCAATGAAGGTGTACCCAATAGATGAGAAGTCTATAATCAACAGAGGGATATATGACCAGAGGATGATGGACTCATACAACATGTATGAGAATGTTGACAGTAACAACATTTATCCAGTGGAGCCACCAAAGCAGAATAGTATAAGGTTTGTATTCAAATTAATATTTCTATGATTTTAAGTCGCTAAAGTAGGTCATATATGAATTAAGAAAAATAGACATGTTAATATTGAACGCTAAAAATTATGGACCAAATAATATTTAACAAAGTGAAATTTTAAGTGAGCAAATTAGGTAATAATATAAATGGTGCATGTTCTTCAATATTTTCAATGACCGTTTAATTAGCACCAACTTGTGGATGGTAATGGCCTTGTAGAATATTAAAGTAAACATTAATAACACACTGTGAACATAGTACCTATATAGGTTATTATCCTAGATAGAGAATCTTGGGAGCAAAGTAAAATGACCTTGACAACAATTTGTTAACACAGCTTCTTAACCAAGGCCGGATATTGCAAACTAACCTTATAAAAATCTATATTTAACATAACAACCTATTTGGCCATGTATCATAGAGCATAGAATAATTTATAGAGAATCAAGGCCTTTGGTGGTAACTTTTTTTGTAACTATATTTTTTTAGACTATTGAATTGGTTTTTAATACATAGTCTAATAGGTTTCTGGATGTTATTTAATACACTTTTAGATATTATTCTAAAGTAGATTCCTGCTGCATTAAAAATACTTTTTAAGTTTTTATATTATTTATAACACAAAAATGCCTAATACTGGAGCCCACTAACCGTTGGCCCAGATATTTAATAAAATAGCTATAGTCCACAATTACTATATTTCGTACTAAGCATTTTTTGTGAATGAACCTACATACATAAAATATTTACTTTTTTCCATATTAGCGATCAATACTGCAACATGAACATTCACCTTAGGTAGGTTTAAAAAGAAAATATTTGGAGACCTTTATAATATTTCAGTTGTATATTTTCAAGGAAAACAATTTAGGTAATTTCATGGTACATTTTTCCTCATGACTGCAGTAATTTTTACGTAATTACTTTTCTAGAAAATATAAACCTGCCTAGTATGAGTAACTGGATGTTAACATTAAATGTAGGCAAGTTTACATTGTTCTTAATATTTTATGCTCAAGTAGATACTCAAATATAAATAATGTACTATATCTATTTGACCTTTGACATTTTAAATGTATACAGAATGTCAAGGTGGTAATCGTATATGTCACAAATGTTTTCTCATAAGTACCTATTGTGTTTCAAATCTAATTCAGAATTGGTGTAAAAAGACCGCATATCAAAGATAATTTATTATGTATATACTTAACTAGAAAAATCTGCTTACAACCAGTTTTTTGTAAAACTGTGCTAGTTGTTATGGTCTAGAATTTATAGCTTGCTCAGTAAATAAGCTTCAAAGCAAAATCTATTTGTTACAGTGTAAACCACAAATGCTTGTGTTGTTTCTCATGTTTCTGGGTATTTCTTTGAATAACGTTACCATAAAGCCGAGTCTTAAATTATCCTCAAATCAAAGTTCAGAATTATGACCTTTGAACTAACTAACAATTGTGAAAACTTAAACCATGTTTTCTGATGACCATAATTAATCACTTAGCTTTGGATCAATTATTTTTGACAACAAAAGTGTTAGACATTGAATAGTTTAAAAGACACTTTTTCAAAGAAACACCCACTAAGCATGAAAAGTTTTGTTGCAAATCCATCAATCACCCATTGGTCACACATGTAGACGCCACAATGTAGTGATTGTAATTGACAGATCAATATTGACAAATAGTGACAAACCCGCGCCGAGGGAGGCTCGGCCGCAGCACGTCTGCGAGGAGATCCCGTCCACCAGCAACAATCCTGATGTCAACAAGGCGAGGGATATACTGCAAGATGTGGAGAGGTGAGGATAATGTGCTACCATTCAGAGCCATTCTAGAAGATAATACGCCCATACCCAAATCCCCTGTTACGAATCTGGTGTTTCGGGTGATACCTCACATAGGCTACTTTTTATCCTTTTGTGACGCGAGCAAAGCCGCGGGTAAAAGCTAGTAAATTATATAGCAAGGCGGAAGTAGGCACATAAATACATATTTCCTTGTATTTCGGCTAGGTCAATGGTTTGAAGGCATTGACTGTGCGTGATCGCTAACGTAAATGGGTCCCATACACAAACACGCACTACACGAATCGTCATCGATCCAACTGTTAGGAAAACTTGTATTTAAATACTGACTGGCTTATTGCCTTGTTGGTCGAGCGGTTTCTAATTGGGTTCGATTCCCGGGTCAGAGAAAGTAATATTATATTAAGACTTTTCAAAAATAAAAGCTTGTTGATTTTTGAAAAGTCTCGTTAGCTACCATGAACTCTGTATGGCCTGTCATTAATGGCAATAAGGTCATATATTAAAATAAAACTGACAAAAGCAGATGTTACATCTGCCTAAGCCTAACTGAAGGATAAATGACATTATGTTTGTTTAATCGAATACCTAAGTATAGTAGACGTAAGTTTAGTAGTAGAGTATAAACGTTACGTTATCAGTCGACCTCGTAGAGATAGTGCACCTGCTGATGATTCAAAGCACAATACAACAATACTGGTGACTCAGCCACCATATGCCATCGAGTGGCCGAAACTGTGGTATCTTTGTTTAGATAACAAACAAATTGTTAGGGATAACACTTACTGTTTACCTCTTGATTATAGTAAATAATAGTAGGTATAGGCATGTACCTACTCTAGTAGATGTGAGATTATCTAGAATTATATCATAGTACCTAGATACAGTCAGTAAATGTATTAAATGTACAGGTAATAAAATAAAGATTAATTTTATTCTTTATTTTCATTTTTATATTATTTTTATTATTTATACTGTGCTCCGAACAGCGTTACCGTAGGTTTATAATTACGTGCTGAAAATCAGCTACGTGGAGTCTAGCCTTCGTGTCCGGGTCACAGTATTAGTACGAGTTTCTTTTTCGTTTAAAGTAATCGAAACGAGTACGCGTCCGGCACTCTGATTGACCAATGAAGCAACCAACCACAGCGCCGAACGCGTACTCGTTTCGAATACTTTAAACGTAAATCAAACTTGTACTAAGGCCTCTGATTGGTTGGTTCATTAGAGCCGGCCAATCACAGCGCCGAACGCGTACTCGTTACGATTAGGTACTTTAAACGAAAAATAAACTCGTTCTAAGGCGTCTGAGCCTTTTGCCCTGCGACCACCACTGGCTTTTTATGTGCACCTGTATTCTTGTCTACGTGTGTGTCGTGGTAATTGTTTTTTCATTCTTTCTATTATTAGTACAAAGTTACAATGCATTAGTTAGCTACTGAACTGACTAGTACTTACAAGAGATAGGTCTGCCTGCTACCTCTGCAAAAAAACAATAATATTTTCTTACCTACATACCAATACATTGCTGACTGTACCTAGATAATATCTTTGCCATTACAATTTGGTTTAGAAGTCGCTGTCGCGACGTTTAATCGCACTGTCCTTGGGTTTACTTTATCAAGTCGGTATTGTGTTATTGGATTTCATTATTGTAATTTGTGCCTACCAGGGAATTTTACTTTTATTTTGCTAAAACTAATAACATTCCTAATGTTAAAAGAAGGGCGTCTCTTGCGTTAAGGAGAAAAGAACCCGTTCTTTATGTATTAACTACAAGTTTTCCCAGTTTATTTTGGCCACCTACTAAGGGTATTATCACATTCTTACTCAGACTTCTTAGACTATAGTTAAAAACTTCCATAAATGTTAGTATGATAACCTATACAGTAGGTACTAGGTACATGTGTTTATAAGAAAGTAGATAAACATTATATTTATCTTAGTTATACTCTTACTTTTATTTAATTAACAAAATAACTGATAGGTTAATAGGTATCATAAAACAAACAAATTATGCTCCACTGCCCAACACTTGCCTACTTAAATATGATACGAGTTAAAAGCCTCTTGATAAGTGTTCCTTTGTGAAATTAAATACATTGTAAATTGTATATAGGTAAATACCTACCGTAATATACGGATACAAAAACAAATAGGTAGGTAAGCAAGTATATCAGTATGATTATCAATTTTCTTAACTCATTTATGCATGATAAAGTATTATATAAATAAATAAAACAAGATTTCGGTTCATCTTATCACTACTTACATAATTTTTTTACTTCCGACTGCATATAAGTACGCAGTGATTTACGCAGGTGTTATTTACACGCAATACACTTTTACAGTAGGTAAATATTTGATAAGTTTTTAATTATAGGTAATAGTCATCTCAAGTGATAGATGCTCTATGATTTATTTTATGGCATAAACCGGTAAACAAGCCGACGGATCACCTGATGGTAAGCAATCGGCGTCGCCCATGGACACCTGGAACACCAGATGTATTACAAGTGCGTTACCGGCCTTTTGGTGATTAGGAGTTTGAGGATCGCTGGGGATTCAGGGATTGGGAAGATTGGGGAAGGGGAGGGTAATTGGGCCTCCGGTAACCTCACTCCCACGACGAAACACAACGCAAGCGTTGTTCCACGTCGGTTTTCTGTGAGGCCGTGATATCACTCCGGTCAAGCCGGCCCATTCGTATCGAAGCATGGCTGTCCCACACTTGAAGTGATAAGCCATTTAATGCAATCTGACGGCTACATGTACATTAGATACGTAGGTTCTACTTCCAAGATTACTGAAACGTAGGCAGTAGATACCTATTGAAATTATGAAGGCCTATACCTATTTCAATATCAAATCAAAATAAAAATATGCTATCTAAACTGACTAAATTGTAGGAAAGATATCTTGATTATAACTTTAGGCATAATCTTGTTTCTTAGTCAATTGCATTGTCAGCGCAACTTGCGCAAACAATCAACTTTGCGCTAAACGCATTTGCGCATTACTTACTTACTATTTATTGCGCAAATAAGGTACAAGTACAACTTAAAGTACTAATTGTCCTTGAATAAGGAAAATAAAGCAGTGCACGATAGGTATCGTGTAATCAGATATTTGACAATAAGTACATATTTCCCCAACAGAATATGGCGCGACGTAATGTCGATGATTCAGAACAATTTGAAATCTTTGTAGTCGGTGCAAAGTGATAAGATATGAGATATTCGTAGCTAATTATCGGCTTATGACGATACGTCGTACATCTGTGTGGTAACAGCCACTGTCGATAAATATTGTATTGTGTTCTTTTATTTCTGCAAGTCGCTGTTCAAAATCATAACCATAACATCACGCTTTTTATCCCCGAAGGAGTAGGCAGATTACGGCACTTAATGCCACATGTAACATCCACTTTTCACTATGTATGTTATGAGTCTCATGAAATAGGGGGTGAGCCTATTGCCATTTACCAGGCACATTTCCAGACTTTGTGCTACTACTGAGATTTAAAAAAAATCCAGTAGTACTTTGCCCAACCCTGGAATCAAACCGCCCCTTGCCAAGCAGTCGCATTTGCGGCCACTCGGCCAACGAGGCTGTTCTAAATGTTTTGGTACAAACAGAATATACTAATAGTGGCGAGCGGTTACACCAACTCGCTTAAAAGATGGCGTGACGTTAGCTTTATAGATAATCCAGATTTATTTGATAAATGATAAATATTATTATGTTTTAATCACGCTACTATGTTGCCGAGATAAGCAATGTACTTAGTAAGTGTAGATTGTGTAAAGTAATTTATTTGCTTTCTCATTAGGAAAGTTTAATTGCGTAAGTCATTGGGTACTCATTACAATTGTTATTTTGCAATAGTTACACCCAATTTATACAACGAAAGCGTTGTTTCACGTCGGTTTTCTGTTAACACTCCGGTCGAGCCGATCCATTCGTGCCGAAGCATGACTCTGTCACACTTATAAACATAACATAATATCACACTTAATCCCAGAAGTTATGCTGTAAGTCCCATGTAATAGAAGACGAGATTAATCATCGTACATCGTACATCCATTCCAAGATGCCAACTACAGACGGTTTTGAAAATACAGAAAAAATTACAATACTTCTTTGTCCAATCTGTTATCCATATCACTCCCCGATCAGAGTAGCTTTCTTAACTCTTAAAGAAACATCTTTCTTTCATCTTCTAATTAATATCCCACGTTTTCAGAATAGAGCCAAACTCGATGGAGTCGATATTGTGTGAGGCGATCAAGCTGGAGTTCGAGGCGTACACGTCCGTCAATCCGTGCAGTGGCTCCTCCCGGGAACTGAACGAGGTAACTACAGTCTGCTCTCTTCAGCTAAACAATACACAATTACGGAATAGACAAGGTATTATGGGCATCATAAAAAGCTAGTGGGCGTACGCTACTTCGCTTCAGACTCGGTACCATACGTTAGAGTTTAAACTGCTTTGTATGACCAGAAAATCAAAAGCTTTTGTTTAGTAGTTATTTCTACAACAGTCAAAGTCAAATGATTTATTTCAATTAATCCTCACTTTGAATTGTCACCGAAGCTAGGTGCTCCGTCCAAAGCATAGTTTCGAGTGGAGAAGGTCGTTCTTCTCCAGTCGAAATTCGCTCGTGCATGTAACTCCTTATTTTCGGCTACATTGAGCCTCAGGTCACTGTCAATGCGGAATACAACATTATTGTTGTCTCACCGTACTATCACTCCGGTTTAGCCGGACATACCAATCTTCTATAAATAGAACACAAGTCATAAATCATGTACCTACTATTTAGCTAAACGATATTTAAGAATTGAACTCGTCACGTGACGCCAGTATTGATTAACCTGATTAGATAAGTAGTACTACAGGTGAACACTTGAAATATTTCGTGGAACCTAAATTTATCACACCTGTAGCTATATTCGGCAACTCTGCCCTATTTGCGGTGTCAGTATATAGACAACGAATTTACTATAATAATAAAATATAAAGGAGGTCGCAAGCCCAGTTTGTCCAGTGATGAGCTGTCATGGACGGTTCAAATTAAGATCATGATTCTTAAATGTTCAGTGATACTTTTGCTAACATATGTTAACAATGGTTGTTCTGAATAGTAATTTACTGTGTATCCTTTCGAACACAATTTTTCCTCTTACAAATGACGTTGGTAAATCAGTATTTTAATTCCTGTGAATTGTGTATGAAACACTTTCATGAACTATACGGTTGTATGCTTGCATCATAAGCCATTTACTACTACTTTATGTATGAACTGCAAAATAATATTAATCACTTGTCCACCAGCCTGAACAAGAAGCCTATGTTTTCACACATTGCTTGCTCAGAGAATGATTAACCAAATCTCACCCAATCTTGTATTGGGGAAGGAGTAATCGAAATAGTGTTACACTTTACTGATATTAATAACATAACATCACGCCTTTTTATCCCCGAAGGAGTAGGTAAAAAAGACTTAACGGGTTGCCGGGGCTCCGGTTCGAAGTACAGGAGTAGGAACGGGGTGGTTTCTAGTCAGTAAGAGTCTGACACTCCCTCTCGCCTCACCCGGGCGGGAGCAACCATTAAAAAAAAGGGTAGGCAAAGGCGCACATTAGAGCACTTATCCCATTGTACAATATAACACCCACTTTTCACTATTTGTGTTATGAGAACAATGTAATATAGGGGGTGAGTGAGGTCCATGTAATAGGGGGTGATATAATTATATTGACACTAAATACAATTTGCTATAATTCCAGGTGGAACGTGCGAAGTTGAACGAGTTGATAGTAGCCAATAAAGCACTGCACGCGCCCATAGACGATGACGTCACACAGCTCGTGGGAGAGACTGCCAGCTCGGCTGGGTTCAAGGTAATATCGACTCTCTTGTTTACATCGTAAAGTCCATATACCGGGTACATTTCCAGACTCCGTGCTACTACTGAGATTTAAAAAAAAAACCCAGTAGTACTGTGCCCGACCCGGGAATCGAAACCGATACCCCTTGCCCGGCAGTCGCACATGCGGCCACTCGGCCAAATAAGGCAGTAAGTGTGTAGTATTTATTGTAGTGTAGTGTGTAGTATATATTACTACATTAGGTAATAATAATAAATTGCTAAAAATGTGCGAATATGTGTAATCTGTCGGCTGACATGGTATAGCAGACAACGTCAGCGTATACACAAGGCTTTACGGATAAGATAACAATATTTTTACAAGGATTTGTTACATGAACGTGACGTCATCGTTCAATGTTACATTAGTTTGACAGTTCTGATATAGTCTTTCGCTCGAATACTGAAAGGCTACCCAATTTAAGGTTGTACTTAAACATCGACATATACTATTGGGCATGCCGTACGCGTATAATCTGCAGTAATTATTTGGTTTAAAAAGAGTGAGAGAGATGGCCTATGCTTTCGGTCTAGCGCTATCTCTTTCTCGCTCGTAACATCTTAACTACGATACTATTTTGACAGAGATATAGATAGACCGAAACTTCGTTTCCTCTCTTTCTTTCGGAGTGCCACAATTCTTATCTCTAAGGCATGTCCCATTAGTATATGTCGATGTACTTAAATATCGTGACAGAACTACCTATACCATTTTTATTTTCTTCTTTGGCAACCGAGAACCTATACTTAAGCCCGACTTAAAATTGAGTGACGTTTGAGTATGTCGACATTAGTTGCGTCGCGGATAACAGGGATTTCCTTGTAACATATTATGACATTCGAGAAAGAGATTACCTAATTTTAAAAAATTGGCGACACACTCGATTCTTCTCTGGAGTTGTCAGTTGTAACAGGCAACACAGCAAAACTAACCAGTGCCTTTAGCGCGTGTCTATCGAGAGAATAGAAAACTTAATGTATGGGGATGACACTGACAAGTGTCAAAATTTATGTCAATACGGTAGTTGACAAATAGTCAAATTGAATACTTTTATCGAAACGTCAAAAACGATACTGTTCTATAAATTTTGTATGAAATATCATCTTATGATGTCATTATATTTTCGCGTCAAATAGCACACTTATATCTAATAAAATGCTGAAATAATTAAATCGAAAATTAACTATATCGGCAAATTAATGAATGAAAGTGTTTTTTAATATGTAATTGGACTGAAAAATCAGAATAATTTATTTTTGGCCCAGGAAACTACCCAATCATATAATTTGGTTTTCTACTCTACAAGTAGACACGCGCTAAATGGCATTTGGCTACAGCTACAGGTGTTCCATGTGTTTGTTTGCAATTTGCGAAATGACCGCAAAATGAAGAAACTTCAGTTTAAATTCTTATAATAATTTATCATAAGATCTCTATCTCCAATATCAATAACAAATCTTAGCTGTATTTGGAGTTTTAACACATTGACATTAAGTCACAAATTAAAACCGCTACATATTTATATCCTCAATTAGGCTGTTTTTTATATACTTCCATTAAAAGTATATAGTACAAATGAATTACAAATAAACTTGTATATAACTTAAATTATTTATATTTCATTGACAGGGTGGGGACGGCAAGCACGACCCGCGGTTGATCACGATAGTGAACCTTACTGCTGTGGCAATACGGCGGTTTATTAAGATGGCGAAGAAGATCAACGCCTTCAAGAATATGTGTGAGGAAGATCAGGTATGTTATTAAATGTTATATTTTTTTTTTAAAAAAAACGTTGCCCCACACTAGGATTTTCTCCTGTGTCGTGGGTGCGTTTACAAACATACAAGTTCACATACACAATGACACCCAGACCCGAAACAACAATTTGTGGATCACACAAAGTGTTGTCCCGTGCGGGAATCGAACCCGCGACACGTTGCACGGCAGCCGGTTGCCCAGCCACCGCACCAACCGTGCAGTCATATGTCCTTCAAGTGAATTAAATTGAAATAACCATGAATAAATTCGTATATCTATTAAATTATATTTATGTTGACTGTCTCCGTTAGTCGAGTCGAGAACTTGAGTTCGATTCCTGAGTCGAGAATAACTGTATACGAAAACGTTTTTAAAGAAAAAAATGTAAAGTCTCAAAGTCAAAATCATTTATTTCAATTAGACCAGGAAGGCACTTTTGAACGTCATAACAAAATATTTAAATATTAAATAATAAGAAAGTCTTATGTCGTTATCCACCAGGTGGCGCTACTGAAGGGTGGCTGTATAGAGATGATGGTGCTCAGGAGTACGATGACGTATGACGGACAGAGGAAGCAGTGGAAGGTAATTATAAAGCTATATTTATTTATGACCTGCTGGCCCGCCAAACTTCGGACCGCCTACATTTTTTTTCTCACCTTTTAAACCTTACCTGGACTTCCACGAACATTACAAGACCAAAATTAGCTAAATCGGTTCAGCCATACTCGAGCTATAGCGAGACTAACGATCGGAAATTCATTTTTATTTATAGATAATCACACTGATCTCCTGATGGTAAGCAATCAGCGCCGTCAATATAAACCCGCAGCCCCAACGAAGTTATAAGTGCACTGCCAGCCTTTGGGGATTGAGGATAAATGGGGGGGGGGGATTGGGCTTCCGATAACGTCACTGGCTCCGTGAACACAACAGGTCAGTTGTTACACGTCGGGTTTCTGTGAATGCCAATATGCCCGAAGGGGTAGGCATTGGTGCGGCACTTAATGCCACTGTACAATGTAACACCCACTTTTCACTATTTATGTTATGAGTCCCATGTAATAGGGGGTGAGTCTATTGCCATATACCGAGCACATTTCCGCACTCCGTGCTTCTACTGAGATTTTTTTAATAGTAATACTTTGCTCGACCCAGGCAACGAACCCGAGTCCCCTTGCCTGGCAGTCGCAGTAGCAATCAGTTTGACATGTATAATGTATAATGTATAATGAACTTGTAAACAATATTCCCAGATCCCCCACTGCCAAGAACAATTCGGCAGTATACGCACGGACGTGCTGAAGCTGGCCAAGGGCAACATATATCGGTCGCACGACTCGTTCATCCGGTCGTTCGAGGCGCGATGGCGGACGGACGAGCACGTCATACTCATTATGTCCGCCATCTTGCTGTTCACCCCCGACCGACCCAAGGTCGTGCATCCTGACGTCATCAAGTTGGAACAGGTAACTATTACACCACCAGTACATACAATATTCAACATTTCGCCCAAAACAAAACATAACTATACAAGTGTAGTTTTGAAACCGTGACATTTCTCGGGGGCATTTCACAGAAGTCATAAAGGTTCAATGTAAGAAAGTTTATAATAAATCGTTTAAGTTCGACAGTATTTCAGAATAAGCGACAGCAATGTTTCTTATTGGAGTTTTATGGAATTAAGAATAATATCAATTACGTGTTAGAGTTTGTGTGTGTTGAGCCCCTTTATAAAGCTAGTTACAAGACGGCGGCGTGTAGTTCGCACTTACGGATTTCCGTAATTTTTTTATTGATTCGGACTTAGAATCGATAGCCGAGTTATCTCCTAGAAAATGACGCGGCTTTAAAATAACGCCTTGTATTGTTACATTGTTCACTCACATATCTATTGAGACAGATCTATTGAAAATTGCCTTTCAGTAAAGGCAATTTTAAAATATACTTAAATATCGTGCTATCTCTGTCATTTTACAAAGAATTTATAGCGACAGAACTATACTTAAGCGCGAGTTAAAATTTAGTGGTGTTTTAGTATTTCGACATTAGTGTTTTGAATATACAGGGTGGAATTTTGTAATGCCACCTGAAGGGGAACTGTTAATACTTTAAGTGCTTTAACCATTGGGTCAACCATTGAATTAATAATTTAAGATTTCATTGTTTTCTTTTCATTCAATTAATGAAGTTTGTTAAAGAAATTTCATCCTTATTGACGATCGAGGCAATAAAAGTACAGGATGCAACTTTTACAGATTTTAGTCGGGTCGGTTACCGTCTGCGGCAAGCGAGTTTATAAAAATCTTTGAATGCCGTTTTCTTTCTTTTCAAAAAGGAAAGTTTTCTTTAAGTAAAATTTTCTATCTAAAGTAATTAAGTACTTCCTCTTCAGGTGGCATTACAAAATCCCACCCTGTATTATTCAAGAAGGTAGTTGAACAGCTTTAATGAACAGGCTAGGCTGTTCATTAATCGGTTGATTAAGCCAATTGAGCCTAAAAATATTATTATGTTAAGTACAATATTTTATAAAATTCCACAATAAATAAACGCATAGTCATATGACTTATTGTAATTAGTGTATCTTAGGATACACATATCCGTGACGATATATCCGTGACGTAGAAACATATAGTAGAAACCCATTGTTATCGACACGGATATGTTCCCTGATTACAAGTAAATAATAATTGCTTATCTACCTAATGAACACTTTCACATAACATCTGATAACAGACTCATGGTTGACTAAAAATATGTATAGTTACAGAACAAAAAATCATGTTATAAGGAGGTTTGGAAGTTTATTACTATTTCAGAAAAAAATACTAGACTAATTTTGATAAAATTAAATACAACGATAAATTATATTCTAAATGAATTGATGACACATAATGGGGTAATTTTAATCCCGAGAATGCGGGCATGCGTAACCGCTAGCAATCGCTAGTCTATCATATCAATTATTTCGAGTAATTTACACTAAACATCAATCTTTAAAAGACTACCATTTTTTATGGCACTCAAAATACTTTTATTTCTTTCAGAACTCCTACTACTACCTTCTACGTCGTTACTTAGAAAGTGTCTACCCGGGATGTGAAGCGAAATCAACCTTCTTGAAGCTAATACAGAAGATTCTCGAGCTACGAAAATTGGCTGAAGAAGTGACTGGAGTGTACCTGGACGTGAACCCCATAGAGCCATTGTTAATGGAGATATTCGATCTGAAGCACCACGCCGCATGAGACACAGGGTAACTTAGAATAAGTATTTATTTAACTCACAACACACGGATTCATAAATAATTCAGTTTATTTTTATACATATTTTTCTTGTTCTCTTTTGGCGATGCTTAGAGGTGGTGTGAAATTTTGATTTTCTTACATTTTTTTTTTGCATTTTTGTGGGTATTGTAGAATATTAATATGTGCTACCGTGTTGACGTAAATTATACTTCTTAAACCATCTAAATAAGTCTGTAATTTTATAATTTTTTCAATCTCGCCTCTCTACAGTCGTATTTTATCTTGCAAATTAGCAATTTACTAAATATGTAAGAAAATTTAAATTTTGTGGGCTACGTATATGTTAAAGCATCCCCCTTAAACAAATCATTCATAAAAAGCCAAAAATCACTTCTCATATATATCCCTCTGTTGTTTATGAATCCGTGCCTCGTTTTCTTTGTCCGTCTGTCACGTTGGCCTAAATAGCTGAATAATTATGGAATATATATCTACACACATAAGTCGAGATTCCGTTTGATAAGTGTATTAAATTGTTGTTATTGTACAGTAAAGTTATATGAACATATCAAATGCCAAATTAGTAATTATGTGTGATATAAGTACTAACAGCGCCCTCTACCATGATTTTAAAACGAATATTTGTCGATACTCGAACTCGATAGTAACAACGTAATTTTTTATACGGCATGTTTCAGTAAATAAATAAATGACCGCTACACACGCTGTAGAATTTGCACTTCAAACAGAGGCGAATCAAATCTAGAAAGCTCCCTCACAGGCGCCCCAAATTTGTTTAGCGCCATCGCCACTTCATGGGCAGTGGAGCACGCGCGTGTCGCGGCGCCCTATCGATTATTATCGACAAATACTTTATCTTTAAAATCGTGGTAGAGGTACAATTAATGTTAGGCTGCAGGTCCGATCTCTCACGTCTACTCCTTACGAATGCATACAGAGTGTCCGAGAAGTCAACATTGAGAATTATGCTTGGAAATGGAGGCCACTGTATTTTTGCACACCAAATGGCGCTAGTGTGGATCTCTTGCTCATCGTCCAATAGGGAATTAGCTAGAGCCACACCATTGGACGATCAATATTTGACAGCTGCAGTGATTGGACAAAAACTCTTGCTACATTTACGCCATTTGGTGCGCAAAAAACCGGTAGTTCTCATTGATGGAGGTTATTAGCAAAACAAGATATCTGAGACAGATGGATTATCCAATATTTTATGTTTCAATGTCATTATTTTTAAGTCAGTTTTGTTTTTTCTTATTTTTCTAATTATCATCATCTTGAGTTTGGTTTCTCGGACACCTGTATGTAGTATATACATATGTACATGTACGTAGTCCGTATAGTTTTACACTAAGTACAATATAAGTATATGTTTAAACATTAGTCTCGTGACCTACATATTGTTAGAGCGCTTTGGGAACATTATTTAATATTTTACTAACAAAACGCAGGTATTATTGTTACTTGCAATTTTTTCGGAATGTTGTCTTTTTCTAATTGAGAGCGAAGGAAAGGGACAGTGTAAAAAATGTTTCGACCGTATTTCGATTCTGCCCTTTAGAAGCAAAGGTTGGGGCTATATGGAAATTCTATGGCCGTCGAAATATATATGTATTTTTATCTTGATAAAAAAATTAGTTTGTGATAATAGTGGTTTTGTTTAATGTTTTATACATCCAGTATAATAAGGTACAAAATCGATTAACAAATTGGGGAATCTAGAAATTGGCAGTAGGTAGCGGTCACAAAATAAATGAAAGATTAACTGAAAAAACCTTAAGAAGTAAGGTATTCCCCGATCCGATTTTCTCGACTGCCCCGTTGGCCATGTGGTCGCGAGTGCGACTGTCCGGCTAGTTCGATTCCCGGGTCGGCAAAGTATTACTGGGTTTTATTAAAACTTCTCAGTACTAGCACGGAGTCTGGAACTGTGCTCGGTATGGCAATAGGCTCACCCCATATTACATGGGACTCATAACATAAATAGTGAAAAGTAGATGTTACATTGTACAGTAGCATTAACTGCCGTAATGTGGTCCTCTGTCTACCCCTTCGCGAATAAAAGGCGTGATGTTAAGTTATGATGATGTATCTGAAATTCCCGAAAGTTTTATGATGTTGTATGTTGTTATAACTAAAAATGGATTCAAGTGTACATGTACAAAATTAAAGAAAATTAAATTGTTTAGCTAAACTTGTATAAATTACTGTTGTGAAGTCGAGCTCAATAATATAAGAAGCAATCTATTCGTGTTTATATAAATTAACTTAGGAATGATATCGACTGATAGTCTGCAATACATACCTCATACCCTTCACTTAATATTTACTTTTCATACTTATATGTATAAATTATACCTATTTTTGTGTCGTTATAAAATCGACCGTATAACTACGACATAAAGATTGTCTCACAAAGTTTTGTACTAAGTATGAACATACAGTTTGTATGTAATTAATGTTCTAAATGCATTGCAATAATAATTACTTAATTTTTTAGGTAATATCAATGATTTTGTTAATTTTAAATATAATGTCATTCAATATCAATTTTTATTCAAGATCATTAGAAGCAATAGACGGAGCCACTCGTGCTGATCAACGCCTTTTTACTGTTTGTACAAGACACATATAAATAATAATTGGGTACTTGCCAACTTGTCAAATTCAATACTTTTAACAAGCTGTCAAAAACGACAATTTTCTATGGGGATTGTGTATTGTGACGTCACGTTTTTCGAGTCGCATAATTATTTTTTTTAAATTTGCTGATGAATATCTAAAATTAAATTGATCATAAAATCAATTAATGAAAGTGTGATTGTTTTTTAGTATTTTATTGTAGGTATTGAACGGATGAAATAATTTATTTTTGATTAAGGAAAGTACCCAATTATGTCAATCTATCTACATTAATAAAAAATTAATTTCCGTTCGTTAGTCTCGCTTAAACTCGTGAACGACTGAACCGATTGGACTAATTTTGGTTTAAAAGGTGAGAATTTTTTAAGCGGTACGGTACTGTAGTTTGCCGGGTCATCTAGTAAAATATAATGTTCTGTGTTAATCTTACCCACGATCTCTTTAAATAGTATATTACAGTTGCCATACTTATTCTCGACCATATTCCTTGTTGTTAATTAATTATTTTAAACTTTGTGTTCACTTCCCTTCAAATGTTTGGAAAACAATTTTACACTAACAAAAACTAATCAATAAAATCATACTAACACAATACTAATATGCAAAGCAAAATTTGTTAAAACTCTATCAAATGTTATATTTATTTCGTTTTACGTGTACATAGTTTAAATGTAAAACTACGTTTATTGTTAATTAAGAGAACTTTATTTTTATATTAACACATAGAACTCGATATTGTAAGTGCAATAATGTATTTTAAGAAAGAAATATATTATAGTTTGTTTATTTATTTGTTTCATTTATTTTACCATAATTATGTTTTACACAATTCATTCTTATTACTCAGGATTCAAGAATATTATAAAGACAATACACGAAAGAGTATATTTCATTTTTTATTTAATAAACAATCAAACACGAGATAGTCATCATAGTTGTATAGAACAAAAAACAGATGAAACACACTTGTTTATACATTCCTGTGCACTCATACTTTGCCAACTAATTGGATCTTCAACCACAACTCCAAGCAACTACACTAAATAAATACAACAAAATAAACAAAACATAATCATCAAGATAAATAAAAGAACCTTACATGATGTTTGAAATGTAACCAGCAAGAGTGATCTTAATAATCACATTATTGCAATACTGCTCACAGAAGCAACAAGTAAAATAAACAATGTATAAACGATCCACAAACTACTTATTAAGTGCTCTAATCTAACATACACACGATTCTAATTAAAACACTTTCATGTGCACATTTCTACGACTTCCCATCCTCAATGCCTAAAGCTAACTTCATTTCTAAGGAGTAGTTCTGTTCCACTCTATCAAATTGTCCACCGTCTTCCTTGTCCGTGCCAGCCTCTATGTCATCCACACAATCTTCAAATATATCATCAGTAGACACGTCATTCATAAAGTTTTCGTCACCTAGAATTGATTCAAATACTTTTGAATCGTTTAGATCATTTTCGGCGGCGTCTTTTTCATCAGGCTCAATAGCTCGATAGCCAGAGCAGCTGGCGTCTCCAGAGCCAGAAGCTATAGCAAGATTAACACCTTCCAAGTTCTTCCCTTTCCCTTCTGCCACTTGACGAACCTTGTCTTCAATGCTAAGCGTATCGTCACCAACATTATCATTCTGAGTTTCAACGCTTCCTTCAACGCTTTTATCATTACCTTCTGTTGTATCGCTCATAGTAATATCATTACCGATTCCTGAATCATCTCCGACAATAGCTGACATCCTACTAACATTCTCGTCTGTCAGCGTGTCTTCTAAGCACAAGGAATCATTATTGCTTGCGATAAGTGTAGCTTCGTGGTCGTCATTGACGTCGTGATGAGAGCCGGAAGGGCTGCCTGGTATGAACTGTACGAAGTCACCTGCTCTCCACCGTTGTGCGGCTGCATCCATGTGCACTTCAAGGATATGAGATACTTCTGGCAGCTAGAAACAGACAAAGGTAAGTTGAATATCATTTTCAGAATCAAAATTTTAATATCGTCAATAAAAACTTACCGTGTACTCGTTCTCGAGCTCCCCGGACATGCGTTCAATGATGGCGTTGGTCTTGTTGTCGATGTTCCCAGCGTGACTAGTCATGACGTCATACTGGCGGTACATCTCGCGTTCCTCGTACTGGAGCGTACGATCCAGTATCTCAGAAGCCACGTTCTGATCTATGCGAGCATTTTCTGCCATGTCCGATCGGATTACTCCTAAAAAACCGTAAATAATAAACAAATACAGTAAAGAATGTATAGCCCTAACATTACGAAATATTTTGTTTTTAACGTTACCTTGGGAAGGGAATCTCTGA